GGGTTTAATTTAAAAAATATTATACATAAGCTATTAAATAAACTAACCCAACTTGCATTCAACGGCTTTCAACATTCAAAGACTGATTTTTATGCTGATATTGACCGAGGTAGGGGGGGTGAGAGACTAAAAATCAGAAACAAAGATATCAGTCATGGGACTCGTTATCAGTTCCGACTCCTCGGTTCTAGGAACTCAAGACCAGCCTTGCACATATGCAAACTGATAAGCGCGTCCTGTCTGCTAACTTCAGTCAATAATGCCGTTGACTGTTGGAAGTCAATCGTCAAAGGTACTACAGTACCAGCTGATCAAATAAAAGTCAGCATGAACACTAGTGTATTCACGATAGATAACAAATCGCGAATGGAAACCAGTTTGTAAATGTGTTAACCAGGGCTTTGAACTTGGACTACATTGTTACTATGTCTGTAGGGTGATCCGTGCCTGGTATTTAGACTAAAATAGTTTCAGACATAAAATAATTAATTTCAATGCATTATAACATACAGGGTGTAAAAGAACTTCCAGAAAGGATTTCAAGTATTTGTTCTTTTGGTCAAAACAATAAAAAACAAATTTAAATTGATGTAAACTGGTTTTCTGTATGTGAATTTTAGAATTGTATCTACTCTATAACTTTTGAAACCCCTTTTGCTATTGACTTCCTACACATTTATACGTACCAATTCAAAATGGCAACCATTTAAAAAATGGGCATCTGAAATAAATTTGAAATCTAGCGGTTTTACAAAAAATTGTAATTAATGTATTAATTTATAACATAATGACAAATCTTAACGGTTCATCGATTAGAGAGACCGTGCATTGCCCAGACCATAATAGGGACATTAAAACATCATTCAACTCCTATACGTGGTCTAGTATAAATGACAATCTAAGTTGTTTATGAACCGAATTTTACAGTTTAAGCATCGTCGAAAACATGATGGTTTTTATTGGAATCGTTCATCATAAAACCATACAGTGTAGATTCACGTTTATGGCTTTTTATTGTTTTGACCAAAGCAATAAATGCACAGGTATCTTTCCAGGAAGTTTGTGTACACCCTGTATGTCACGGGAAGAACGAATGGATGTAATTTAGCCGATATAGGCAGATCGATCAAAATAATTTAAAATACAGTATACACAATAACCACGTACACACAAATAAACATAAAACAACTAAACACTGACCCGATATGAACGCGTGCGGTGACGTCATAAGATGAGTCAAAACGCGTGTCGTTCTCAGATAATTGACGTTATGTCAATCTTCTGGCCTTTCTAAAATCCTTATCTAAGGCACTACTGCCGTCGCTGATAATGTTCGCTATTATCAATTAGTTATGATTTCAAAGTTTATTGTTTACCAAAACTATCGTAAAACGCACGGTTTAATGTGATTCATTAATTTAGCCTATTGTGTTCATGTGATTTCCTATAGTGGAGGGATCTTAATGTGGATTGGAATTTGTATAATAGTATAATTGTTGCTGAAGTCGATGAAGTTGTTTGGTTGGCATTTTTAAGCGGAGAATGTTTAGTCAGCAAATTGTCAAGTGCAAGAGCGTGAGGTTTGGCCGATGTTGAGAAACTGGGACAATCTTATGTGATTTTGTAATTCCCTGTATTGTCGGTTTTATCAATTCATTCATTGCTCGGTAAAATAATACTTTTGATGAAAGACTATATACACAACATACATTTCATGTCGATTGTAGGATTTTACGAAATTTATTTACGAGTTCCGTTTTAGTTTTTGTCTACAATAAGCTGCTATAAACTTTTTAAACTGGAATTTATTTATTTAGTTCTATACTGTAATTACATTGGCTCAGTGCAAAGAAAAGTGATAAAAAATTAAAAGTTAATAAGTCAGTGGAATGAAACTTAGTCACCGAGTTGTTTTATCATACGGGAATCGTGTATCGCCGCACAAGTGGTTTTAGTCAGCTGAAGTTAGGTTTCCTGTATAATTAAACACATCTCTTGGAGTCAGGTACTGTACTACGATTTTTGCACTGCAAAGACGAAATGCTAGGTTTCGGAAAAGCATTTTATGGTTTTCGCTTCGTCGAAAATAAACTTAAGCTATTTACTATAAGCACTAATTATTGTGAGAATATTATCAGAGAGTTATTTTTTAGTTTATTATTTTTTCCTATAAACTAACAGTTTTAACCTAAAATAGTCTGCAAATAAATACGGCCAGCATTGTTTCTATGAAAAATACAATTTTAAATTACTTAAAGCCCACACAATTACCGACGTTATTAAAATATTCGTAAGTTGACGGTCGTGTGCAGGAAGTTCATTCGTAATTGCTGTGTCAAGTGATCGAGGCCAGTGCAGCTGCACTCTGCAGCAACGTCTCCCCACACAAAGCTTTTAACCTTTGATTTCCTACAGTCGATTTGGTGCTTGGTTTTATTTTTGCAAGACGTATTGGCAAAATAAATCTTCATAATAGCTCTGACCAAGTAGCAATTTCACATACGTGTTATAAGTTATTAACAAAACTACTGATTGATTTCAACAGGTAAAACAAATTGAACTGTCAAAACTCTGTCCTGTTTTGAGCACTGCTGACATTCGCAAAAAGCTGTTTGCTGAATCACGATAAAAATGGCAACACAGCAAAATCAAAGTACAAACAGACGGTGACTCAATCACTCTCATCTCTAAACAATGAAACAATTCAAACATTGTTCACTGAATCAAACATCCTGTTGATAAAACAAACTACTGATCGAACTACACCGCGAGTCCGCGACTTCTTAGATTTATTTGTTACAAGCAAACAGTTCCGTAACATATGATTGACAAGCGTTACTAATATTGCTCCACTTTGACGTCACACGACATGCAATAATGTGTAGTTTAAACAAACACAACATTCACAGTATATTCCATTAGACAGAGAAAGGTGATCGATTAATTTAGAGAGCGACATGCCATTGGTTGTCCAATAGAAATGCAGACTGGTTTTCAGATACGTGAGTGAAATTCGATGACTTAAATTAATTCTTTACAATGTTAAAAACCCCCTGTCCACTTATCTTATAGACTAAAAGTAAATTTACATCTCAGATGGGGTGAGTGAAAGATCCATACGAAATTTTATCAGCGGTAACAGCAAACTGACATAATTTCTTACATTAGCTTGTCAAACATTCTCATAATGGGGTTACAATAGGAAGTAAACACTGTACGATATTTCATGGCAAAATCACCAAAGTTGCAATAACTTTTGAACCACAATTTTAATAAAATTTTGGGGTTGTACTATCATGTTTAGTTATAAAAGATCCATAAGACTACTATATTTTAATTAACATCTTTTGTTTATGGGAAAATCGTCATTAAAATATAAATTTAAAAAGGAAACGCCTGGAAAGTAGGCTACTTACATACCACATAATCGGGCCACAGTCCTAGTCTGTAGCTCTGTAGGCCTACATATCCACAAACAGACATCACTTCGAAAAACTTTTTTTGGTTCAGCAGTTCAAGGGACCCAAAAAAGACCCAAAACTCAACCTAGAAATTTTTTTCGAAAAAAATACTTTCTCCATATACTATGCATGTTAGACTATCGATGCTATGTATAGAAGGAGTAAACAAAATGCAGTATACTGCACATTCGTATGCATAATTTCATCCTGTTGTTAGTAGCAAAACAGGTGTATTTGAGGACATTCGCACTGATGATTCATATACCGGGAATGTTCATCACTACGCACCACTGGACTTGGTCGCCCGGGCGTGCTGTTTCCTGGAACACTATTGTTACGTTTTCACCTCTCCAACTCTTCTTCGTAACGTTTACCGCTATTCGACAACTTTTCCTAGAGCCTGGGTCTACATCGAGCCAGTTAAGTCTGAAAATCGTCCGGTTGAAGTTTGACCCTGAGACAAATAATACTAAGTTTTTTTTTCTAATTCGCAGCTAGTTGCTCTATGCTGGGCTTTTATACATCCAACACCCATTCATCTAAAACTACGCACCATAGCGTTTCAACGACGTAGAAGTATAGTGTGAGTAAATCTCAAGTTCATGTAGGTGACTGCTTTTCGACCGTCCACAGTTTTTTATGCAATTACAATCATAAGACGTATACGCGTTTTAAACAATGCACGAGTGTTTCCTTATAATTTTAATGTTTCAGGTAATAATTAAAACCCTTAAATGAAAATGGAACTTTTGTAAATCACACCGATACAACTGTAAACTTCACATATTTAGCAATAAGAAACGACGATTCTGCTATGAGGATTCCAAAAACGTAGCACAAGTCAACGCCCTCTCCTCTAATGTTTTGTTCCAACCCCCCCCCCCCCCCCCCGCATAACAACACAACCCCAATTCCGTCACGGCTGTTTACTCACGCCTCAAACAAAACAAGTCGACAGTGATAAGGATAAAGGAAGCACAACTGGGGAGGGAGAAAAGGTTACGCCATTTGCGTTGGTGCGAGAGAGAAAGAGATTGTTGGTGGGGGGAGGGGGAGGGGGTAGTCCCAATGTCACTAGACAATGTTGGATAGTGGAGGGATTATCCTGGGAAATCCGACTGAGATTAGCAATACCAAAAATGTATTTAATGTGATATAGAAACGGATTTCGTAAATGTAAAGTGTTCAACTTTCTAAACCACAGCGAATCAAATGTATCTACTTAGTTTTCCCTATAAATCAGCAACTGAACTTTAAGGTTACAACCTTGTGTTTCATCATAAGGTAAACATAGAAAAAAATTAAAAAATATATATTCTGGAAAGTGATTAAGATAATTTAAAAACTTTACCGTAACCACTCACAAAAACATTACTTGTCCATTGATACCGAGAGTTTTTAAAGCGGACAGAGTTAATTAGATCAAAAAGGAAGTCGAAGCGAGAAGGAAGTAGCCCCTCCACACCTGGGTGGGGAAATCTGTCGCCGCAAAGGGGGAGAGTGGCAACACTGTGACGCAGTGAGTTTTTGTCACTTCTGTCAGTCGGAGACATTCAGTTTCAGTCAGTGTCAGTGTGTGTGTAGAAGTGTGAGGAACAGTGGATCATTAGGGATGTGATTTCAGTGTGAAAGTCCTCATGTGATAGTGCCAGTGATTTGTTCCTCGGCCTTGTCAATATAACGGTTTGCGACCAAACTGTTACACAACCTACTTAAATGCAACCCAGTGTTATCACAAATGTAATGATTTAATACAATTATTGATTTCAAACGTTCATAAATAACTGTTGTTTGAGTGGTTTCAATTCTAGATCCATAGATTATGTTTGGCTTTAGCTTTTGATCATGCAGGTTTACATAATATTCTACCTTAAATTAAAACTGGCAACATCTTGAATTAACAATACAAAATTTACACCTCACAAAAACTCCAGAATTAACTGTTTAATACTTTAAAAATAATTGTTGACCATATCAATCGTATTACAGACAGAATAATTAACTCGACTAAACAACCTAATGATAACAAATAGAGACTGTTTAAAATATATGCCAAGACAAATTAAAATTGCTAAATCAAATATTAACTTTGTTACTAGTTCTCTTTCTTGATGTTTTACAAAATTATACTAACTTCTCAAATGCACTTGTCAATATGAAATATTTCACTTACAAATTTATTTATGAAAACTCGGTTTGAAACAAGTATTTATAAATCTCAACCAAGATCAAATTCAAAATTCAAATTGTTTATTTGGCCATTAAACATTACATAATAGGCTAAAAATGTGTCACTTAACGAGAGTAGCTTTGAACATTTAATTCAGGTACAAACAATTCTATCATTGACTATAAACCTTGGTTTAATTGCAGGTGTAAAATCATTGTTTCTGATTAGCTTTTGATAAGGAGTTATGACTTAATTAGATGATAACTAATTTATAGGTGCAATTTTTACAGAGACCTGAATCATTCCATTGAAATTGAAGCTAGTTTTAATAGAGCTGCAGATTATTGACAATCAGAACTGGGTCCAACATCTAACATGAACTTGACATTGTTCGAATGATAAGCTTCATGATGTCAGAAATCAATTATAGGCGACCTATAGAATAAACTCCAACTATTTAAATGCCAGAAAACTAATTTCAACTTAAAAGAATAAAATTATAGGTACCGGTAGAATGTTATTAAAATTATGGATACCTAGATTTGCAAAGAATGCAAAAAGAGATAAGGATGAAGAGCAAAGGATAATATTTTTAAATTTGTGTTTTTTTAGTTACCAGTACCTAAAGAAGTATAATTCTCAATATTTTAAATTTGTTTCTGTATTTTTTTACGACAATTGGCAACATTTTTGTGGCTGTAGGAGTTTTCCTGTAATCACTTTGGAATATATATGACTTAAAAATGTGTTTCGCCTTGTTTCAAACCAGAATTTTTGCCAATGAATTTAAATTATTTGTATATTGATTTTTTTGTGCTAAGTTAATTATAAAAACTCTAAAAAAAGATTTTACACTACAGGAAGATAAAGTTAGATTACTAAAGCGGAAGGCATTGATAGCAGTTTAGCGTGTTTACAAGATGTTATGACATTCATTACTGATGTAGCCTCTTTAATTCAATCTTCAACCAATCTCTATGCCTTGTTGAATTAGCTGGATGAAGGTCAAATAAATATTACACACCCTCGTTGCATTTCTTGTCAATCAAATTCCATTGCAGCTAAGTGGCATTGAAGCCATGCAAAATAGTGCATCGTACACATTTAGGGATCAAGTTTTATGGTTATTGAACTGTAGGATTATGTGATGCAAATACAGGATTTTATTTTGTTAATAACTTAAAACAACCAGTCAAAATTATTTTTTAAATGTGACGAACACAAGCAACAAGCCTACACAGATCTGGCAATATATATTTTTTAGCAAAATGTTTTTTTTAATAGCCTTGAGTTATGGTTTAAGGGATATGGTTACTCAGGATAGTTATTGGGACTATGTATTACACTCCTTGTTATTCATACTTGTCTAAACCATCTTGCTTTGATGTAAATATTTTTAATGGCTGTTTGCCGTAGAAATAAATAAATAAACTGAATAATAAGAAAGGAAATTATACGTTTAACAATATTATCAGGATTCAATTTCCTACAAATAAATCGATTTCTGCAAATATAAACCCCAAAGATATTGCAGGGTAGTCCAATACATGATAATTAAAATAAATAACAACATTTAAGGACCAAAACTTAATTTTTTTTTACATTCAAAAAATGTTCTAAAGCTGACAACATGTTAAATAACTCCCCTGATTTAAAACAATTAATGATTACAGCTTGTTGAATGGTCTGTGCAAATCCCAACTCACAGGACAACAAAGAGCAAGTCTCAAGGACAAACATAGTCAGCAGGTGCAAATGTTACAACAACACAGTCTGTGTACAGTAATATCCTTCTGATCAGCACATGCCACACAATAATACCTTGTCATAACGTTTGCAAGTAGGCTAAAATAATTGTCCAAATTTAGTTTCCAATTGGCTTGATGTTTTAAAGTTTAATTTTAATTTGTCTTACTAATATGGAAATGACATTGTTTTCCAGTATTTCTGTTTTTGTTATAGCAGAACTAGGTCAGGAACTTAAATAATTACGACAAACTTGAATGTAATAAAAAACGCTAATTCATAATTGTAACAAAACATTACCAAACTACTTCACATAAACATTATTTATGAACACATAATTTTTTAAGAAAAATGCTTGTAGCGTTAAGATGTTTTACACTAATATGAAAAATATCCCAACATTTTTTCAGGTTCCTCAGCAAATGTAAATAAACCCAAGATGTTAAATCCAAAGATTACGTTAGCAATAGTGCTCCTAGTGGCCACGGCCACCGTCGAAAGCAGGGTACCTCACAAACCACTCAGCGAGGCAGATATAATAAGAAACTCAGCGATAACATACATCGACGAATTGTGGTCAAACATAACAGACAATTACGAGTGGATCTACAATGCGCAAAAATCGCACGGAACGGACTCTGCGATGCTACAGGCGTACAAAGTGATCTGCGATAGGATAGACCGTTTCGTCCCTGCTTCGATTCCCGATGTTTGCGACGATATTTGGAACTACGCTAGAATCAAGGTGGAGCTTGTCGGAGTGGACGGACTTTACGGCAACTTCAGGAAGTACCAGTTGGAGCCGGCGCATAAACACAAGATGTTCCAACGAGCGTGGGAGGACCTCGCGGAGTCCGTACTACACGAGTCTGATACTCTACATTCCGTACCTAGCTCTCTGGAGGCTATACACTACCTGGTGACTGGCAGTGAGCGAACCACTGAACCTTCCCTCTACACTCTCATGGGGGAGGTAAACACGACCATAAAATGCCAGTGCTCGATAATATGTAATTCTGTTTAATTTTTCTGCTTGAATTCAGTTTTGAATTCCAATTATACATATAAGTATTCTTTTTCATCACACAACAGAAATATTTTAAGCAATAAATTTGTCAAATGCCCTTTGCTGTTGAAAAAAAACCTCTTTAATTGTTATTAGAATCCATAATGGTTTTTGGCATTAACTATATTGTCTGGTGTAGATTGCTGTACGATGTTTCACCCTTACTTTTAAGAGACATCTTCAGTGGCTAGGCTGAGACTAGCAAAGACAAAACGTTTGACAAAATCCTTACTTGACAACACAGATGACGCGAAAAACCACTATCCATTCTAATTACATCAGCTGAAAAAGCCTACCAATGGAGATTTTCTATTGTAGTGTGCATTAAACCTAACATTTTTATCATGAAACTTGTTAATGATATTTTGCAGGTGTAATTTGAGAAATTAAAAATTACAAATCCATCAATGTTACAGGAAGGGGAAAACTCGCTATGTCACGTTCAACAATCACCACACCAGATCATCTACAACCTGTACAACTCTCTGCAAATGACACAACTCAAAGGCTACACCATGATGCAGTTCTCCTGGATGCTTCTGCGGCTTTATAAGAAAGGTAGCCTGACTTAATAATTTAATAACTATTATTTTAAAGTATAGATCCCTGTAGTAAGATAGCGAATTGTGCTTTCTGTTTTGTTTTGACTAGTACCGCGTATTACTAGTACTGTCATTGAATTTGAACCAAAATCTTTTACAGGAAATTTCACAACGGAATCACGACTCATGAGGGAGCGTTATCTGGAGAGGATGGCTGAGCAAGCGATTTCTCTCAAAGAGGCACTGAAAGAAGCGGACTCTGCGTATTGGAAATGCGACCCAAAACACCAAGTGGAGGGGGAAACTTACATCCAGCTGACTAGGCTTCTACAGGTAGAGTAACATAGAAATTGAGGTTCATAATCCAAACTACTGTTGAAGTAGTAGAACATATTACAATTAAAAGCAAAGTATCAAAATTATAATCACAAATCAATCTAAATCATTCATTCCTAAATTTAACGTCAAACAGAAAACCATCAGCTATCAGTTTTTCATGTTTGTGTGTTTTCCAGGGTTATATACAGAACGAAGTGGATATGAATCCAAAGCAGACGTGTTCCGAGAACTGCGGCTATTACCAGATGACCAAACAGCATAGTTGTTATGAGAACCAATTCTGCGCCAAACAGAGGGCTTGCCAGGGAGATATTGTCGAGTGTCAATACATCGACTCGGACATGTGGGTTTGTCAGGCTGTAAGTGGAGATTTATCTGATAAAATGTTAACAATTTTGTATAATACGAGTGGTTTTGCAATGACAAAAATCCTCTGAATTTAATTTTATATTTCACAACTTGCCTATGCAGCAAATTAGTAAGCAATTACTTCCAAAATTTTGCATTGTCAAAAACACTTAAGCTTATAATTTTTCCAATTGCTTTTAATTTCAACAATTTTAATTTTCTCTTAGCCCGTAGAACGCCTGTAATTCTTAAGTTTCACTTCTTTTGTCACTTGTCTTCAAATTTCACTACAAAACCATTTATTTTCCTACAGGATCCTACTGTGTCCAAACGTCGCTATGACTGGATTGAATATGAAAATGGAAGAGTCTTAGGCAACAAGGGTTCCTGCCATAGAACGAGCAAGGTAAATGTTTGTGTAGATCAATTGATGTACACGATTCTCAAGCACTTCTCATCATGTGTAATTGGTATAGTCTGTTGGAAAAAACTAAATAATGTAGTCTTGAGTAAGACTACTGAAAAAAAAATTATTAAATAAATTAAAATTAATGAACAAGATTCCTTTTTTGGGGCATTACTGTTTTGCCAATTTAGGTTGGTACAGATAGTTGACAAACTATTTTATTTGTCTTTATTTTTACATTTCACATGATTGTAATGAACACAAGATTTAACTATTAACTATAGTGTGAAAATTAATTGAGTATGAGTTAAACTTTGAAAAATATTTTCAGGTGGACAGCTGGTGGAGATGGCTTTTCTGGCATTGCTCATACTGTTTCTGCATGTGTGACGACCCTACAAACTCCGACAGATACTTCAGTCTGAGGAACGTCTTGTCTGACACGGATAACAACAAGTAAGTATCTTTAAACGGCCGTCCCTGGCATTGCGATAAACAATCAAACAACAGCACAAATTCCTTCCCTGAGAAGAATTCAAATAAAACATAATTCCCTTTAACACTAATTAACTAAAAAAACTTCTAAAATTCTCTAAATTTACTTCGCAGTAAAACTTCTACAATGTAACAATTGTTGACTTTAAGAATATGAATATATCCTTCCAAATTGTCCTCTTGGCAATTTATGGAATTGCCTTTAAATTCCTGCTGGTGAAGTTACCATAATAATAAATTGAAGACACACACCAACAGTCCAGTTAACACAATACATTTTCCAGAGTCGTCACCGGGATCAGATTCGTCAAGATGAACGGAGTCGTCCACATGCAGATCCAAGAGGGCTCGTTGGGTCGTTACGGACACATCAACGGAACTTCATGGCAGTCAGTCGACAACTTCAAGACCAAAGACACCATTGAGGGCAAGGACTACATGAAAATGTCTTACTACAAAAGAGCCATTGATTTGGACGATCTTTTGGCACCTCCGGAACACGTTATTACAGGTGAGTGAGGTGAAAACAGTTAAACAAATTTTTCCCCTGATATCTTGAATTCAAATCAAAGGACAGCTTAACTGAAGAGTTTCTCCTTAATCAATTAACAAAGTAAAAAACAATCATTTTTTTTCTTGCAGGAGTGAAATTCCGAATGGTTGGTTCCCACTTGAATTTGGAAATTCGAGCTACCCCGTTTAACTTCACGTCAGGCCAACTTCTCGACCCAGGCAGGAAAGACCAATGGCTGAGCAATGACAATACAGACGGATCACCAGTTAAACCAAGGTAACAACACTATCAGAAAACATTTCAATTGCTGTAGTCCAAATTAGTTCTTAAGCCAGTGTTTCTATTTAATATAAGGTTTTAGACCGTTGGAAAACTATGGATATTTTTTTAGATTTTTTTTACGAAATTTCAACAAGCCAATGAGAATTGTATGTAATTGATCAGGTAGAACTTGTCACTCACAAAATGTGTTTCAAGGTTGGTTTAGCATCAGTATTAGCCCCTTAATAGCAATAGGAATTCAATGGAAAATTCACAGTTAAACTACCTTTCAACTGTAATTTTTTTTTTTTTTTTTGAGACAGCAACGCCATTGCATAATTTATACTGAATGTGAATGCAACATGAATGTAGAGTAAAAAAAAAAAAATGATTTTCTGTAGCTTTGTTACCGATGAAGATTAGTTATTTCTTGAACCAACACTGTTAATTAGCCCAATTAATCCAGCAACATTTTGTTTGATCACTATAACCACTCAGCTACCAAAGCTGCTATTCTGCGAGTTACTACTTGTTTGTTGTGTTTGCAGGACTAAAGTGAGCCTAGACTCCGCAGACAATCCGCTCCACTCGTTGTCGCCCTCCAGAATAGACTCCAAGTCCGACCAGTACCTATTGTTCACCCACTCGGACATTGATCTAGACGCTGCCCAGACCACCGTACCCTTCATCGACTCTCAGATGGTGTCGCCACAGCCCCCCGTCCCACTCTCAGGCATCGGAGTCTACCACAAGGGAGTCAGGTGGTTCGGAGGATTCATCGGACTCAAAGTGTTCACCTACGACTTTGGCAACCACATCGAAGACAGCTTTACCGACCTTAACGGAATAGACACAGTGAACTAGCCGATGTATCAAAGTCTTAACTGTTGTATCAAATAGCCGTTATCAAGTCAGAAATAACCTTGAACCCTCACAATCGAGGGTGTAATAAAGAATTTATTATTTTGTAATATGTTTTTTAATTAGTAAGTTTTTATAAAGTAATTTTTTGTAAAATGTGTTTCATTGACATGTCCTGCATTAATTTGTATCCATTCATTTTGTAAGTATAAGGACAAGAACAATAAATTATAATTTGTGTAGGCCTAATGCACATTTATCATTACCGTAATTTCATTTCAACCAAAAAACTATTAACATGATTAGTTAATTTATCTTCCAAAGACAGCTTGTGTTTGAAATTTAGTTTCACAATAATTAACTCAAAGACTGGCACTAGGGTCATATGAGTTTGTTTTGACAACATTTGAGAATGACAAAACTATTATGATATATCATTTTATATTTTCTCAAATTTGATCTTTTACGGAATGGGCTTACATTGATAGGTAAACCCATTTCTAAAAGTAAAATATACAAGAGGATGCAGTAAAAACATTAGGTGCGCTGCTTGACTACTTATTATGTAAACATTGCATTTCATCCACAACACATCTTATCAGATCAATACTATCATTAAGTGTCCAAGTATTTAAATAAGTTCATCTTGTATTGTATTTAAATTTTAGTCTATAAGGCACTAAGGCAGTGATACAAACAAATTTACGTTTATTTTGTGGTAAACTAAAAATGACAATAATTTTATTACCACAATGGTGGTACAAAATATGAGATGTATTTGTTTACTTTATTGATTTATTACCAGTATAAATTATTGACTTGCATTTATGTGTTAAAATTTAGATGATTAGTGATTGCCAACTAGAAATCATCTTATTTGAATGTAAACTAGATTTAATTATTTGTAACAAAAAGACTTGCATTAATAAATGAATAAAGAACACATTCATTCAGCTCAACTTTTTATTCAACCATTTCAACCAGTTGTTAAAGCTCCAAGGTTAAATTTTAAAATAAACCTTGTGTTGTTGGTTGTATTTTTATTCATTCACTACAGGGAACTATAAACTTTAATCCGTTGGAGTTATCAGTTAATTAGTTCCTGTGCCAAAACTGGTGATAAGAAAACAATGCATGATTGACCTTGTAGAAAGAGATGATAACATTCACTGCTTCAGAGGATATGTGTTCCAGTAGTGTTTTACTGTAACTACAGACAGTGCTCGATTTGTAAAAAATGAGGTGACGGAACTGTAACTAGGAGTCTCAATCCCGGGATCCCGAACCCCGGTCAGTTTTTGATACCTAGAAATCCCGGGAATGGCGTCTATTAACCTATGTTTATTTTTTAATTAATTTGAGAAGTTTTACTTACAGATAATAAATAAAAATATGGCCAATAATACTTGAAACACATATACTGTTTACTTTTAGGATGATAAATTTATAAATGAAATATGGTATAAGTCGTGATATCTATTTGGATTGGACAATTAATTATCATTAAACTCAATAGGCGAACTTAGTGTATTTGTTTCTAGTTTATTAGACTTATTTTGATTTATGTTCTGTAAATGTTATTAGGCCTACATTAGTTAGAAGTTAATTAAAGTTATTTTGAGTTTTACTTTTGACATTAAACGCAAACAAAGCAATTGATATGGCAAACATAACATGGCAATCTGTAGTTGAAGTATTATTTCCTTAACAACATTGAAGGTCTAAAACACACTATTATTTTTATTAAGATTGCTTATATTTAGCATCTTTATCTTCATACTGTATTTGATTTTTAGTGTGGTGATTAAATTTTGTATAATCCAAAATTAAGTTTTTCGAAAACAGGTTATTTTCAAAATAATTGTTTTCTTGCTATCAACATGAAATCTTTACGCTGAAGCTGGGGATTCTTCCCAAATTATCATATTTTAACTTTATATATTGAGTTATTTAGTTTCTATATTAGCATAGGCATTATTCTTAGTAGTCAAATTTCCAGCTGTGCATCTTGGCAAGTTTAGTGAAGCGTGACGTGTAGGTTACATGCAAGTGTGGTTCTTGTTTTTGTATATTAAATTCTAGAGTGATAAATCAACATTTATACACTGTAAATAAGAAGGATGGGTGATAAAAGTTCCGTGTAGTAATATTTTTTTAAGTTAGAAAACGACAAAATTGCACTGTCTAACAATAAGGCCAGTTTAAAGCATTAGAGGACTCAACAAGGGGACTTCACGCTCATTTAAAATGGCTTCAAAGTTAAAACTAGGGATGGTCAAGTCTCGAAATTTTGGGAAATTTTCGGGAAATTTTCAATCTCGTTACACGAGACGAGATTACTTTTTGGCCGAGATTTTTATCGAGACGAGAATAAAAAAAAAAAAAAAAAAAAAAAATTAAAAACGCCTGCAAAAAGTCAATGCAATACCCGCAATACAGGAGCGTGTTGTAGTTGCCTTTCCTTTTCGAAGGCGTTCTTATTTAATTAATTCTTTTAATGTAAATATTACTTTCATTATTTTAATAATATTACTTTAATAACATTTGAGAAGTTTTGTTAAGTGTAAGCAGTGTGAGGAATGTTTTATTACTATAAAAAAAGTCAAAACAAGTAACTATTTTATAAAAATTAATATTGCTTTTATTTTATGATTTATTTTATTTTAGGATAAGTTGAACTCTACCCTAACTGATATCACCATGTTTCCTAATCGTAGGCATTTTTAATAAGTTAGGCGTGATTAATAAAAAAATGTTATGCTGATGTTATTTAATGAAAGATTGTAAATATTCTTGCCTATTATCATTATTTTAGTATTTAAACAGTCATCTAACAATGTTACAAAATCAGGTAAAAATTTTGAACGTGCATTTCCCGTTGTGTATGAGAAGAGAAATCTCGTCTCGAAATTTTATGAGAAATAAAAAATCTCGTCTCGTCTCGTCTCGAACTAAAAATTAAATCTCGTCCATCCCTAGTTAAAACCATAAAATAATATAATCCCGTAATAGGCTGAAACGAATCCCGAGATTGGATTGAAGGCTCCTAACAGTAAACTATTTATTGTGATTTGTATCTATTTATGCCAATATTTTTATCTTTCAGAAAGAGTTACCAGAACCCCCCCCCCCCCCCCCCCAAACCGAGCACTGACTATAGGTCGAGTAGTAATGTAGGCCGGGTACTTATACCAGGCCTGGATAAATACCCTAGTACTAAGTGTTGGTATTTATAAGAAGTATAAACACTAGCAATGTTTTGCATATTTCACTGGATATTTCATGTCAAAATGAGTAAAAATTGTAGTCATTTGTTGATTACAGGGTATATAATTTGTGATATATAGTGAACTAAAAGCTCACAAAAAATACCCCAAAGCTTAAGAAGTGGGTATTAATAACTTCAATCTACTTAACCGTCAATTTTCACAGATTTTAATTATCTTTGGATCAATACTAATAAATAATTATGTTTATTCATACTCTTCTACATAGGGGCAGCTCCAGAACGGATTCTCGGAGGGTCCATTGCCTGGGATTTTGGGCTTTAGGCTAATTACTCTCGATGGATTTAGTGTACTTGTGGGCCTAGGCGAAATTAACCAGAGATTGGAAAAACCGTGAACATCTCCACTATCAAGGGTACATCATCATAGTCACCAGTGATCACAGCGTTTTTGTACAACACCGAAGCGGCCCCCCTATTGCTTACGGCCCTAGACCACGCAATCACCATCATCTGGTTGAGTTGTTAATCTGATATGTCAGAATTCAATAATATTTTCTGTGGTTGAATAAAATGCCGGTGATAGATAAAGAGATCTTTATTTAAATAATCAACAAGTATGATTGAGCTTTGCCCATATGTTTCCTGGTGAGTGTGTTGTAACTGTTTCTTATAGTAGATTTAAAAAAGTGAATTATTCTTTTCTGCATTTTTCACCCCATAGCAAAGCAAGCGGGTAGAACAACTAGTTTTTAATATTGGTTGAAGGTGAATATTGCAGACATTGAGTATTTAATTGTAGATATAAGTTAATAGTTAGCAACGAGCCATCACATACACACTGCGGTAAGAGACGAATTGCAGAAGCGCCGGTTGTTACTTTCATTATTTATTGAATGTTTTGTTTTCCACACCACCATACATGCTTATAGTACATCTTACACATTCATGCCATGCATAAGTTGATAGGTCACATGCCAGATACGACTCAGCAAAAATCATAACTGTAGCAGCCCTGTTAGTATGAGGGTTGTCCGTAAGTTCAGGTTTTTCGTAATAGTAAAAGTCTCGGACATGATCACTCTGGCCAAACGGCTAATTCATGTTCGTAACCAGCACCTTTACTTCATCCACTACTATTATAGTCGAGTGGCTCTCTTACGAGACGATAAGCCCTGTCATAGTAGACGACAACCATTTGAGGGATAATCGACACTCCCCTGGCATCAATCGTGTTCTTTGATTAGATTTCTTTGGTCTCAGGCCAGAGACCCTCCTAAAAACTGATGGAAGCAAAAAACTAATTGAATTCCATTGCCAGTTGAAAAACATGAACAGAGAAAAAGGCGTAGAATATGTGTGTAAGGAATGAAAGACGTTCGGAGGAGGCCATAATCATTTGTACAGGGTTTTTATGTTTGCATCGGTTAGACTGACAGCAATATCTTATTGTTTGATTTTTTTTATTGATCAAAGTTAGGAAAGTTCTGAAATGAATTGCAGTGTAAATTAACGCACATTGTTGAATTGACATTCACAATTTCGATTCGAACTTGGGAGATGGTAAAGGATATTCACAATTACACTACATCTGCAATAAACTTCCATGAACACAGGAGGTGTAGGATATCTCTCCGGAATCACAGTTGAGTTGACGTTCTTAATTTCAACCTTGTTGTAAGCAAGAAACTGTTATTGCAGTGGTTTGTTTATGGTAAGGCTCTAGGCCAGATTTTGAATTGTAGAATAAAGGGGGATAGTATATTGTAGCTTAACTTGGAAGAAGTACAGGTAGGGTAGGCCATAAGATACATCAAACAAACAGTAGTTTTCTGTATGTTCTATGGCCTACCTGTACTTCTAAAGTAATCTAGCTGCTATATCCTCCTTTATTCTACAATTTGAAATCCTGTTATTGCAGTGGGTCATAAAAATGAGTGGTATTCAATAACTGAGGGTTTGGTCTTGACAGTTCCTCCATTCTGATTTAGAGGAACATAAGTTGTATAGCGGTTAGACAAGCCACCCTCGTCACAACCACTTGCTACAAATGTCAGTGAGCTTAGTGACTGAATAAGTTACCATTGGCAGAATGGCAAACTGGTGGGTTGAAAACGTCAGTGGCCTTTGAAAGGGTAATCAGTGGCATAATTGCATACCGGTGGGTCAAAAACGTCAGTGGGCTTTGAATAAGTAACCAGAGGCAAAATGGCAAACCGGTGGGTCAAAAACCTCAGTGGGCTTTGAATAAGTTACCAGAAGCAAAATGGCTAACCGGTGGGTCAAAAACGACAGTGGGCTTTGAATAAGTTACCAGTGGGTTATTTGCGGGACGAGTCGTATCCAGACATGAGTAAATAGACGAGTGCCTACCTGTACTCTCAGCGGATGCATCATGATCAGCTGCAGCATGTCCTGGGGAGGCAGCACCTCCTGCAGACTCACCCCTTGCACATTGATGGCCTGACACATGAACACCGACAGGTACCTGTGTAGAGGTAGGTGGAACGACACCTGGTTGCTGTCCGGCTGAAACACAAACAGTAAATCAGTATACTGGGCATGCCTTTTATACTTTCTTATTAAATGGCGACCATACAAAGTAGGTATTTTAAGTCAAGTATGAATGGAGATGAGTGTAGGAAGAGTGGCACGATCTTGTAGTCTTGTTATTGACTAAGGCAGACATTCCTTAGACACAGCTAATTAATAGCCCATACAGCTAATGGCAACTAAGGGACCTACAGTTTATAGTGGAATCCGAACTACATTTTTGCCTTGGTATATACTAATTGGTCTAATTATCAGGATAGTCCTGCGGATGGACGTAGAACTCACTTGTGCGGATGTGAATCCACACCAGGGAGTATCACATCCACAGTGCATGCCTATAAATATCCACAATTCGTGACCTCCTAGTAGCTGGATTACAGGACGACGCCACCCGTCCCAGTCATGTTGTGGTGTACAGTAGAACCATTAACCTTAAGATACTGAAGTATACATCCCTTATAAAAGGACCAGCTGTTGCCAATTTATTATTTAATGAGTCAACAATAACATAATTGTTTGAAACAATCACAGATTTTGCCAGCTTTTAAAGTTACAATTTTAAAGTAGGTCTACCTTATTTATGTTAGTGATATAGTTGGCATAAAACGATACTATAACTTCCAAAAAAAATGTCCTGTCAATTTAACCTGGTAAAAAAGTTAGAATATATAGTAATTTACATCGGCACAATCTGTCAGTGGTTCACTACGTCCATTTTGACTTTAAAACTGGCAACAACTTTAACATGGGGTTGGAATGTCTAGTTCTATCCATAATCAAAGGTAAAAACTCCATCAACCAAACCACTAATAACCAAAATACTGAAAACCGAAATGGCCTAAGAAAATAAAATCACCAAAATGTGCATTAGACAAAGCAAGAGAGAGTAAAGTGACCAAACTATAAAGGGCGACAGAGGATTTGGGATTAAGAGTCCTTGGAGGCTAGCAGCCATCTTGGATCGTTTCAAACAGCTGCTAAGAGTTATTAATTTATCATCCAACAATGTTTTTTCTAACAAAGTGATTATTATTTAAATATCTAGGACACTGTGAGAATATAAATTGTCTTTGTAGTTTTGAATTGTTTTCCAAGGGAGTCTAAGGTTAGTCCATGGAAGCTTATGACCATCTCGTGTTTGCTTGGCATAAGAGCAATGTTAATTTCGTTAATTTCAAACAGCCGCTGAAGAGTTATTTACCATATTAAAATATTTTTCAAACACCAAGAGTGATTGTAATTTAATTATCTAGAGTGGGATTAGAAATTTTCTTTGTAGTTTTTAAAACTATTTTATGAGTTAAAACGTCTAGGTTCCAAGGACTCTTAAGGCTATTGACTGATGGTCTTAGAGCAACTGTTTTAGTCTGTTTACTGTCTTTTTCTCTAAGGCCTTAAAACACCTCTCCCTTCTTTGGTTTAAAATGCAGTCAATTACAGTGAAATATTCTAATATTTTGTGTAAAGTGAAAAGTTTTGTGTTTCTTGTACCAGTTTGGAATATTTTGCATCTAGGCAAGTCTGCTATCACCACAAAAAAATCCTAAATAAATAGTAGTATAACTATTTGTTTTTAACCTCTGACTAATACAAAATTCTGTTAAGTTTTTCACATTTATTTGCTTTTTATAGCTGGGTCTAAAAGTTCTGGGTGTGTTTAATGTTTAATACTAATAACAGTAGAAGAAACTGTGTCTAATAATGTTTTAAAAAGTAGAAAAATCAAGGAAGAGACAAGTCTCGAAATTTTTGGACATTTTCAGAAAGTTTTAAATCTATTTCTACGAGACAGAAAAATATTGTTGTATCAAGATTTTTCCAAGACGAGATTAAAAAAACTAAAAACGCCTGCAGAAAGTCAAGGCAATACCCGTAATACAGGAGCGTGTTATAGTTGCGTTTCCTTTGCGAAGGCGTTCTTATTTAATTAATTTATTATTACCTACTTTAATTGTTTTATCATTTGAGAGGTTTACTACCGTAAAACTAGCCAAAACAAGGAAGTATTTTATACAAATTGATATTGTTTTTATTTTACGATTTATTTTATTTTAGGATAAGTTTAACACTATCCTAACTGATATCACCATGTTTCCGTAAGCGTAAGCGTTATTTTTGAATAAGTTAGGCGTAATTAATATACTTTTTTTCATAGGTACTGGTACTGATATTTTTTAATTAAATATTTTAAATATTCTTGCCTATTATTATTATTTTTGTATTTAAACAGTCCTCTAACAATGTTACAAAATCAGGTAAAAATGTCAAACGTGCATTTTCTGTTATGTATGAGAAGGGAAATCCCGTCTCAAAATGTTGTGAGAAATAAAAAATCCTTCTTGCCTCTAATTAAAAATCCAATCTCGTCCATCCCTAGAAAAATATACAGGGTGTTTGTGAACTCTCTCGAAAAAATTCACAGGATTATTCCTTGGGTTAATACATGAATATTTTACATTATAAACGTGGGTCGCCGGAGCCTCGTTTTCTGTCTGTCTGTCTGTACGTGTTTTTTATAAATAACTTTATAACTCGAGTTTGAATCGAGGTACAAACTTTAAATTTGACACACTTGTGTATTTTAACGTGTTACACAAACATGCAAAATTTCATTTCGTTGACTATAGCCGTTTCAAAATGGCAGCCATCTAAAATCTTTGACCTCAAATAACATGAAAACCACTAGAGTTACAAAAAAAACACAAGAATAACAAAATGTGGGAAATTTTATGCCAAACCCTTATGACACCTAGATCTTAAAGATCGGACAACAAACAGCTGAGTTATAAACTTTTTAAATAATTAATAATTTCTTCATCTGAATCAAATTATCTGATCCTTTCTAAATTGTCACAACAATGTAAGACAGCTGGTTGGACATACGATTTTGAGATGATGATCACATGATTATTTTGAGTTATTAATTTTTTTTAATAATTAATAATTTCTTTACTGGATTTTAATTGTTATTGTTTATTATTTGAAATCATCTGATCCTTTCTAAATTGTTACAACAATGTAAGACAGCTGGTTTGCCCTAACAACAACATTTAGTTTTTTTACTAGATGGTAAATGTATTAAGTGTCCTATTTTTACCTTAACTATTGAGATCTGTTTAAGGTTACGTAATGTAATCTGTATCAGATGATTTTAAAGAATAAACAATAACAATTAAAAGCCAGTAAAGAAATTATTAATTATTTAAAAAGTTTATAACTCAGCTGTTTGTTGTCCGATCTTTAAGATCTAGGTGTCATTTGATTTGGCATAAAATTTCCCACATTTTGTTATTCTTGTGTTTTTTTTTTTTTGTAACTCTAGTGGTTTTCATGTTATTTGAGGTCAAAGATTTTAGATGGCCGCCATTTTGAAACGGCTATAGTCAACGAAATGAAATTTTGCATGTTTGTGTAACACGTTAAAATACACAAGTGTGTCAAATTTAAAGTTTGTACCTCGATTCAAACTCGAGTTATAAAGTTATTTATAAAAAACACATACAGACAGACAGACAGAAAACGAGGCTCCGGCGACCCATGTTTATAATGTAAAATATTCATGTTTTAACCCAAGGAATAATCCTGTGAATTTTTTCGAGAGAGTTCACAAACACCCTGTATTACTACCTATAGTTGTCTTACAAACCATCAATTATACTTACAATATCGGGCTGTGTCATGTTGATTGCCTCGAGCCAGTCGCGCAGAGCGGACAGACAACTAGCCAGCACCCTCTTGGTGAGTTCAAGTGTGGACGTGTCGCGCAGATGACTCAACAACGCCCACATGGGGTACGCGCTAGCCTCCAGCTCAGCGGAAAACGCAGCATAGTACGTGTTGGGCTCAAACTCTACGTGCTGCACTAGCTCTCGCTGGTTGACGTTCATACCTGAAAAAACCCAGAATATATCAGTCAAACCGGTGTAAAATATGTTTGGATAAACTTGAGATTGACACTTGTTCACTTGTGTCACTGAAGAGTTATTATTGACTTAGCCAAAAATTATTGAGTAGGGTCAGTGGACATTTAGGGGAACTTCAGTTTTAAAATAACTACTAAACTACTTACTACCTAAAGATTACTTACTTAACTAAAACCTTGATTATCGGTTCTTTTCCTTCATCAAGACAGGATTTTTTAATGACGGGCGGACCCTGCTGCAATAGGTTTTTTCCAAATCGTTCCAAACCATCCCTTGCATTAAATCATCAAAATTTAATATTTAGAAATACCTAGGGGGTATCAACTGGAATTTTAGAAACACTTTCACAACTAAATAGATCTCTAAAGGGTCCATAACCATCTATTGCAGAATCAACCTATCATACTTTACCTGATTGAAAATAACACATCACTCACTTACGATCGGGAATAGGTCTAAAGGATTGAACTGCTAATGAACAATGTGCTGTGTATAGTCCTAATTTGAAACCGTTCACGGACTTGTTGACAAATGCCACCACCTATTGGGTTGCCTGATGAGGAGCAACGTTTTTAACACGTAACGAGGAAAGCTAGTCAAACCGTCTTGAAGGGTTAATGCAAAACTGTAGGCCTAGCAGCAAACATAAGTAATGACTAAGGATTTACCATTTATTTCAATCCAAATTTATTTATTTACCTTGAAACATGGAGAGGAAGTCAAACCACATCTCCAGCAGCGAGTTGTCACTCATGAACCTGACGGCAACCGGACGGTGTGACAGTACGTTGTTTAGATCTGACACCAGAGGCCAATAGCAATGTTCCTTCATCACCTGCAGGCCACAGTCTACCACCAGGTGAAAGTTCTTTTCTGGACCTGTTCAAACACAAGTTAAAACAGGTCAGTCAAATTTGAATTTTATTTTCTCTTAACTATCTTGATGCCTTTTGAATATTTTTTGTGTAGCATAAACTTCATGAAAAAGTAATTTGAATCTAGAATACCCATGATGAAAATACATTTCGGACGTTGATTTTTTTTTTACCAAGGCACCAATCCATCTATAAAAACCAAATGTTAGACTTCTCTATTGAGAATTTGAGAATCATTCTACCAAGACATAAATGACTCCAGAAATCTGTCTAACAATAATTTTAAGTAAAATCTAGGGGTCTGCGGTGCACCGAAAAAGTCGGTACGGTACCGGACGTTGATTTTTTTTTACCAAGGCACCAATCCATCTCTAAAAACCAAATGTTAGACTTCTCTATTGAGAATTTGAGAATCATTCTACCAAGACATAAATGACTCCAGAAATCTGTCTAACAATAATTATAAGTAAAAACTAAACCTTCCCACTTGGCTAGATTTTTGGCCTAGATGAGAAAATACAGTAATTTAAAAAAATCATGATTCAATAGGATTAGTGTAAAGACATTATTTCTATTACGATTGTAAATAAAGTTGGCCACAATGACAATTAACAAATATTTAAATTTTTACCGACTTTTCTAATCAATGTACTCTTTAAAGAAAACCTATGCTAAGATGTAATATCTATATGTTGTGTGACCTTTTTATAAGTCTATTTCAAAGGAAAACCAAGAGTTGTTGATTTAGGTGTCCAATATTGGGACGCAGAAACAGTGTTATGTTATTTGACATTTCATCGTGTATCTATTGGCCTTTGGATTCTATAGTATTTTAAAGCGTAAATGTTCTGAAATTATTTCTTCTTTTTGTTTATCTACTAAGTTTTCAACCTCAACATTCTCAGGTTGCCTTCAAATCTGAAATTTGCTGGTTTTTACAAATCATGTTGAACAATTCTAATGAAATTAAAACACGCAGACCAAGGTTGAGAGGTACATATCACTTTCATCACTACTGCAATATGGGGAGCAGGACTTCGGTCCCGGGTTCAAATCCCGCCAAATCACCAATGTATTTCATCCAAGGGATAATGCCGCAACCCCTAAGTCTAGCCTGAAGTAATGTGAAAACAATCCCGGGCTTGTGCCTAGCGTCCTAGGACAAAACAAAACAAAAACAATATTTCTGATAACTCACAATGCAGTGTGTTGGGTATGAGGATCTTGCTCATCATGTACTTGAGGCTGGTCACCATGACATGTAGCAGGTTCAGTTTGTCCACCATTCGCAGAGCAAGCGCCTCGTTGCTGAACAGTTGCACACTCACGTGCACCACTCGATTACTGAGCGTATCCGGGTCACTCGAGCACTCGAGCATCATCGAGATCCGACTGTAGTGCAGCACAAACGCTTGTGTCAGCGCTTCCTGTTGACATGACACAAGGGAATTGTGAAAAAGCACATGCTAACACTGTTCACCTGTTACTGATAGTAAGGCCTACTTAAAATATTATGATAGCTGGTAATTTTACAAGTTAATAAGTCTGAATGCCAGAAATCATTTTTTTACCTAGCTAGGGTACGGTTGATCCTAGCCGAACTTTTATTTTTGGGATCAAATTAGTTGTGACTGTAGAGGATGTTCTCGATTTTGCTTGGACCACAGAAGACACTATCAATTAGGGATGGACGAGATTGGATTTTTAGTTCGAGACGAGACGAGACGAGATTTTTTATTTCTCATAAAATTTCGAGACGAGATCGAGACGGGATTTCCCTTCTCATACACAACGGGAAATGCACGTTCAAAATTTTTACCTGATTTTGTAACATTGTTAGATGACTGTTTAAATACAAAAATAATGATAATAGGCAAGAATATTTACAATCTTTTATTAAAAAACATCAGCATAACATTTTTTTATTAATCACGCCTAACTTATTAAAAATGCCTACAATTAGGAAACATAGTGATATCAGTTAGGATAGAGTTCAACTTATCCTAAAATAAAATAAATCATAACATAAAAGCAATATTAATTTTTATAAAATAGTTACTTGTTTTGACTTTTTATAGTAATAAAACATTCCTCACACTGCTTACACTTAACAAAACTTCTCAAATGTTATTAAAGTAATATTTACATTTAAAGAATTAATTAAATAAGAACGCCTTCGCAAAGGAAACGCAACTACAACACGCTCCTGTATTGCGGGTATTGCATTGACTTTCTGCAGGCGTTTTTATTTATTTTTTATTATTTTTTTTTTATTCTCGTCTCGATAAAAATCTCGGCCAAAATGAAATCTCGTCTTGTGTAACGAGATTTAAAATTTCCCGAAATTTTGAGACTTGACCATCCCTACTAACAATAAATATTTTTTTTACTATACTTTCCAAAGCAACATGATTTTGACCGACGGCAAAAACCTTTTACCTGACTAGTTTCAAAATAAAAAAAATACTGGGGACTGGCCCAGAATCCCCTAAAGAAAACTACAGTACAAACAGTATTTGAAACTTCTTCCATTTCAAAATATTATTTCTTCATGTTTTTTTAAAGCTTAATCATAAAGAATCCTTTGTAGTTATGAGTGTTATCTGTCTACAGGGATTATGTAAGTAAATTATCAGTGATTTCACTTTTAGGTAGTGTATTTTGAAAATTTATAGAGCATAGTTTTGGGCAGTTAACCTCGTCATTCACACCAACCCGGACATGTTTTGCATCATAAGTGTTATCCAGAAGAACCAAAACATGAAAATTTACGGCTTCTCTAATTATAACTTTAAACAAAACATCTTTTTTTAAATAACTTTTTTATTGAAATTGTTTTGATAGCCAATAAAACTCGTTTTCATACTCAATGGAACTTGGAATCACTCGATTGTGTAAAAATTGATTTTAGTAGCCTACCAAACTGATTGAATTTTTTATTATGTTTTTCAGACAGCGATTTAAAAATACAAGCCAATCTCGTCAGAAATACTCCCATTGGATATTTTCATTTTTTGACAGTGTGAATCAACTCACCTTGTAGTCAGGGTCAGGCAACATGTTGAGTAGAAGACACACAACTTTCTGAGGAAACTCAAACTTGACAGTCCAGAACACAAGTTCCTCCAGAAACGTTTTATGTACCAAGGTTTGGGACAATGCAGGACAATCTGAAACATAAACAAGAAATTGTCAAATTTCTAACTCGTTTATTACCTAGATTACCAAGTCAAATTAATAAGAGTATAATCAAAACTAAAGGATGAAAGTGTGCACTGATTTAAAATTGAGGATTTTCAAGTTATAGGCTAAATTAACAAAAGCTAATTAACGATAGTTGTTAACATCTCTGCAACTGCAAACAGCTAACTAAGCAGATTTCAATTTGAATGATTAGATTTTTAATAAAATATCTCCTTAACAAAAAGTCACAATTATTCTCCATTTAAATAACATTTTTGTCCAACCCCCCCCCCCCCCCCTTCACACTCTAGGATGCTAGTTCTAGTCTGGAAATGTCTTACAGATTACTTCAGGCTAGACAACAGCTAGGTTGCAGCATTATAACATAAAATTCATTCGTGATTGGCTGATTTTTAACCTGGGCCCTCGGTCACCAAAGCCCTACCACTAGACCAGCTCGCTCTCCATTTAAATAACACTAGATACAGTAGACCCCCACTTAACCGACCCTAATGGGACCGGACCTAGGTCGGATAACTCAAAAGGTCGGATAAAACGGAGAATCCCTAAAATCATAACATAATGAAGTGCTATTCATTTGGAATTATATAATCATTATTTTGAAATCATAATTGCATTATTTATCAAATAAACTACTCTTATCTCCTTTTTGCTATTGATAAAAAAGTCCCAAATAAATACAAAACACGGTTAAGTCAAATAGGCCTACTTTCAGTGGAATATATTATAATACTAGGCAAGAGTCAATAAAATTCCTATTTTAATAACTTTGGTACTGTAATTTATTGATGCTTTACAAATCCATCGTAATACGGTACAGAACCTTTTGTCAAAATTAAAGATACAAGCAACCATTTTGTTACAAGGCAGGACGTTTATTTATAGCCTGGAGGCTCGAGGCACAAAAACTATCTTGACCTTGGAGTTGTTAACCCCCCTTCCCTGCCCTCCCTACAAGTTGCGTTGTTTGTTTACTCCAGCAATAAGATAATCAGTTCTCAAAATCGTAACGCACTTTATGATGTTATAAATTTGCCGCACAGATAACAAACAGATCAGATGCGCTCGAGCTACGAACGATGATGACAAACTGACAATAGGCTGTGCTATATTTTTTTTGATCAACACAAAATAACTGATTCTTACTCATATCCTGTGGAGATAAGCGCATGGTTCGGTTCTCATCGCCCAGCGTGGGAGCGGAAATGCAGAGATTCCTAGAAAGCGGCGGTTAAACCGAGCTGCTCTCAAAGCAAGGTCGGTTAAAACAAACTGTATTATTTTACGATCGATGGCGGATAATCCGATTATCGGTTAATACGAGGTCGGTTAAGAGGGGGTCTACTGTATATACAGTAAAGTTGCTACTGGCAAAGTAAAAAGTTTTTTTTTTACCAAATGTCAATAGATAAATACATTTTAGTAGGACGAAATAAATGAATTTGCAAAATTTGATCAACGTGAAGGCCTATCCATAAACTTCATATTTTTTTATTTATTTATATAGAATATTTAATGTGTAGCTTCGATGAGTTACTACTGAGACTCAACTATGTGCAGTTAGTGAAAGTGCTCAGAAAATTTACTGGTCTCCCACTGATTTTTCAGATCGCTTTCTGTAAACAACGGCTTTCTAGTATACCGGGTGGCTGAAAAGTAACTTGCACCCCCCCTTAACTTTTCAACCATTTGACATATTTGAAATCGGTTTGCGGCAACCTTCTTAGATATGAAGGGATATGAATAATGATGGTCAATTTTAAAAATTTTGCCCTTAGGGGTAGTGGGGGTTGGGGGTAGCTTAAAATTTTCAAACAGGAAGTATGGTTGAGTTTGGTATCATTTTACAGGTCTTGATATAACTAAACAATGAACATACAGAAAATAGAAATCGAACCATTAATAACAAAATGGCAGTTAAAAATGATTAAAACAATGGTTATTAAAACTAATTTTAACTGCCATTTTGTTTTTAGTAGTCCGATTTCAATTTTCTTTATGTTAATTGTTTAGTTATGTCAAGACCTGTAAAATGATACCAAACTCGACCATAATTCCTGTTTGAAAATTTTGAGCCACCCCCAACCCCCACTAACCCTAAGGGCAAAATTTTTAAAATTTACCATAATTATTGTAGCCCTTCATATCGAACCAGGTTGCCGCAAACCGATTTCAAATATATCAAATAGTTAAAAAGGTAAAGGGGGGTGCAAGTTAATTTTTAGCCACCCTCATGGTTATTTGGATTTGATACGTTTTAGGGCGCCATTTTGTTATTAGTGGGCCGATCTTCGTTTTCTTTATGTAAATTGTTTTGTTTCGTCAAGACCTGTAAAATGATACCAAACTCGACTATACTTGCCATTTGAAAGTTTTGAGCTACCCCCTACCCCCGCTACCCCTAAGGGAAAAATTTTCTAAATTTACCATAACTATTGTATCCCCTCATATCTAAGAAGGTTGTCGTAACACGATTTCAAATATCTCAAATGTTTGAAAAGTTAAGGGGGGGGGGGGTGCAAGTTACTTTTCAGCCACCCTGTATAAAGAGACCAGTAACCAGGTCCTTACTGTGTAGCCGTAGCGGGTCAAAATAGACTTATAAACTCTAGTAATTATTTACCCAGATATTGCGGATGAGGTTCGGGATTGGGCAGTGAGTCGAGAGCGTCCTTGTATATCCGCTGACTGTCCGTCATGTAGGCATTCTCACAACACTCGGTGAGGTGTTTGTACAGCTGAAACACCAGAGGTTAATTTTAATGAAAACTGTATGTGTAAGCCTACATGAGAAGTTCACAACCTAAGACTGATGAACTTTTGGACTTTTGTGTTAAGAGCAAAGTATCAAGAACTTTCACTATAAGTAAATTGTCATGCTAACGTTTGAAACCACTGTAAATATTTACCGACCCAATTTAATATTTACATCCGTTATCTATTAATGATTTTATCTGTTGATTATTTAAGGAAATATATTTTGTGTACAGTTGAAGATCTTAAGATGACAGGAACGGAAATAACATAAAAACCACTGATGTACCGAAATACCCTTTATAATATTCCAACCATTAAATAACTTTAAAAATAGGTTATCCAAAACCGCTTTACCCCTTAATTTTGGTTATCTATGCTAAACAGAAGGTTGATGGGGTACAAAACTACATTTAATTGAGGCATTGAAAAAGAATACTGTAAATGTCATACAATAAAACTTCATTTAGATGTCTAAGATGAAGTTTTATTGAATGATATTTACAGTATTCTTTTTCAATGCCTCAATTAAATGTAGTTTTGTACCCCATCAACCTTCAGTTTACCACAGAAACACGTCAACAATCTTAAATGCAACTTATTAATTTATCAATGGCATTAAACATAGAATTTTATGCGGTTGGGCACAAATGTACTTTCATACTGTGTATTAAGTGTATATTAAAATCCAATAAAAAATAAAACATTTATTTGTGAAAAATTTGTGAAAATCAATATTTCTTATCTATATAGTAACAACTATTATTTTTAGTTACTATATTTCGGTTCAAAAGTTATTGTAAATTATGTTATTTTCCCATAAAAACCCCATAAAATAACGGAAAATCAGATTTTCCCAAAATTAATTGGCTCGAACGATTTTGATAAAAATTTAGTATGTTATAGTCCTTTAAATTCTGAGGAAAATTGTACAAATCCCATTTCCGTATATTTACTCTCACCGCTTACATATGATGAAGGTTGTTGACAAACTTATGGGAGAAAGTATGTGTCAGAATGCTGATACCGTTTATTTTATAGTTTGATGCACTATTTGTAAAATTCCGTTATGTAGTTTCAGTTTTCAGTTTTATTTGATTAGGTGTAAAAGTTATATTATCTCCAGATTTATCTGGAACTATAATTTTTTTACAGCACATTCGGTTGCAAAATACTTTATGTTAAAAAAAATAAACATTAAATTTAATTTAACCACAAACTTAACTCCTAAAATTTGGACATTAAACGAGTATGTTTTCAAATAATACTTAGAAAATCATTTATTTGCAATATTTGTATTCATTTACTAAGGGGTTTTTATTATAGTACATGACTAGGCTTATTGCAGGTCTTAAAACATTTGTTTATAAATTATTATGCATCCATACTGTATTTTTTTATAAAATAAAGGTATTGATATCATGCAGAGTGAAATTTTCCTGACAGTTTCAACATAGATAAAACACTTCCAATCACTAAACACCTGTGTAATTACGTACTCATATGGTGTAGTTGTAACACATCTAGTGAACATCAGCGATACTGTCGTCTTGTGTACCGGTACCGCGTTATCCTGATGTCTTTCTTGACGATGAGGTGTTTTGTGCAAGTGATCACGTTCTGTGTTTCAATTCAAGTGGTAAGTGGTGATCCAAGTTATGGCGACATCGTGCAATCCATTTTTGGCCTTTTGCCCAAATTGCCGCTTAATGTTGGTAATAAATGTTGGTTTAGCAATCCACTGTCCACCGCCTACGAATCAAGTCGTCACAGCGCCGATGGAATTGTAGAGTGCGGGTGCGTTGGATGTTGGGATGTGACAATAACAGACGCTACCACACTTGAAAAAGATACGTATCATTTTTGGAATAGGAATGATCCTGCGTTCATATTGAAGGTTACAATCCACATACACGAATCTCACAAGTCAGAAATGACAAATGGATTGAAGAAACTCGTTGTAGGCTGCTGCAACCTTAAGACCTTGTACAGATATGAACCATTTGACGTCAAGACTGAACTAAAATTTAACGTGCAAAGATCTCGTTCCTTGGAGGGAACTGTCCATTGCGAATTGAGTTGGGAGGCCACAGATTACGGGTTGATTGACGATAAGAAGACACCAGAATTAGAGGCCGATTGGCCTTTATTGAAATTAACAGTGCGGAATATTATTTCCTCAAACAGATTTCACAAATTCGTTGTCAACCCGTTTAAAGGATGGCAAAAGAAATGCTTATAAACCACACCTGGTATGCAAAAAGACAGGCTTTGTAGTATTGTATTAAACTTATTTTTCATGATGGATACGTGTTTGATTCATTTCCCTTGGTAAGATTGTTGGGGAAAATAAAGGTAGGGTTAATATATTGTAATATAGTATTCAGTTTTTCTTATTTTAAATTTAAACTTGGAATATCTAAGCATATATTCTATGTAATACAACTAACTATCTTCTACTATAACTATTGCTAGTGGTTTAAATACCTTTTTTCTGGAAATCCGATTGTTGTATTCCACAACCTGCTAGGAGGTCGAATAACCACTATCATTAGTTACTATGGGTCTGCGGAATTAGCTAATAGTCCAGGAGCTGAGGGGGTTTGAGCATGCATGAAAGTAGTACGCAATGTTATTGCTGATTATTGTAATATGGACTGTGGTGATCAAAATTACGTATGTCGCCTATTTCAAAAGTGGTCGATAAGGTGGGGGTAGGGGGCAAACATGGCGGATTGCGCTATGCGTTAAAAAGCTGATAGTTCGAAAACGGTAAAAGATAGAACATCGGTTAAAACGTCGTTGGAATTCTAAAAATGTGGACAACAATAATGGTTATTGGGTCCGAGGTCGTATCTCTATAAATAAACAAGTTATTGTATAAAATATGTAAAAATGGACTTTTCGTGTAGTTTTTTTTACCGAAAGTAAAATTAATTTGTGAGTGTCGCAAAGAAGTAATATCAAATATCTTTGCTGATAGTTGTAATATGGACTGTGGTGATAAAAAATACGCATTTCGCCTACTTTTCAGGTGGTCGAGAACTTGGGGGAAGGGGGGCAAAGATGGCGGAACGCGCTATGCATCGAAACGACTGTAGCTCGAGAACGGTACGAGATAGGACATCGGTTAAAACGTAGTTTTAATCCAAAAAATATTACCAATAGAAAAGGTCTTTGGGTAAAAAGTTGTATCTTAACTAATAAAAAAGTTATAACAATAATAAGTTTAACAAAATCTACATTGTACAGCTTTTTTTTTCGAAAATCGTATGGATTATTGATAAATAATAAATTAGTTTTGGTTATCTATGCTAAACAGAAGGTTGATGGGGTACAAAACTACATTTAATTGAGGCAGTGAATAAGAATACTGTAAATGTCGTACAATAAAACTTCATCTTAGACATCTAAATGAAGTTTTATTGTATGACATTTACAGTATTCTTTTTCAATGCCTCAATTAAATGTAGTTTTGTACCCCATCAACCTTCAGTTTAGCACAGAAACACGTCAACAATCTTGAATGCAACTAATTAATTCATCAATGGCATTAAACATAGAATTTTCACAATGTGCTTTCATACTGTATTAAGTGTATATTAAAATCCAATAAAACATTAATTTATTTGTGAAAATCGATATTTCTTATCTATATAGTAAAAACTATTAGATACCTACACAATGATGCTCTGTCGAGCGTTTAGTTTTTAGTTACAATATTTTGTTTAAACTTTGTATGTTTACTCCGACGGAAAAATCTAAATTTTGCGTATTCTATCTCAACTAATATTTTTTCATGAGGATTTTTAATATAAAAAAAGCAGGTAAAATTTCAAATATCTCATTCCAAGCTAAAACTTCAACTAAAAAATTGTTACTCCAAAAGATAAACTCTACCATTTAAATAACCAATTTAAATTTGCAACTAATTTTGTATGACAGGTAAATTATAAACAGTGTTGTTCAAAACACAGCCGTGTGAGATAAGCGCAATAATTAATAAACAAGGAAGCGAGAGAGCCAGAGCCACAGATGAGGTATAAGGTAAAGTATGCAAGGTGAGCCAGGGGTCATTGACCTGGACCTTGGACTTGCCCAAACCCAGCGTTCAGCCAAACAGGCTATCATTAACATCTAAACAATGGACAGGCCTTCAGCATCGATTATCTAACACCTGATGAACTAATAGCTGGACTAGCTTCTCCGATATAATGTATTAATATTTAATAAAATCATTTAAAATATTCAATATTTTGAATTTGGAAATTTGCTTACCAATGTTATCACCACACATGTATTTTAGAAAACATGATTAATGGTAAAAATAATTTTAGTAATATATCACTCAAATTGTTATAATCAAATAAAATTAATATTAGTGGAAAGTGTGTTGCTACTTTTTTTCAAAGGATGAATTTAATACATAGAGATTAAAGAATTATTGTGTTATATTTTTAATTGTTAGATTTAGCCTAAATTGGTCCAAACCCATAAATAACTTTTAAAAAGTATAACTACTTGAACAAGCAATATGTTGTATAATCTTTCTAACCTATATTCAGAAAAGGAATTTCCATCACTTATTAACGAAAACCAAATGTACATGTATGTATTTAATCTTTGTAACTAAAATAATGCTGACAACAATTGACAAAACATCAACTGAACAAAAATAATACACTTCCAAAGTGTAAAAAAATTAGAAAAGAGTCTAGTCCATTTACAATTTTATCGTTGGATGGAAAATACCCCCGCCGCAGCAAACCTGCAGACTAAGCGAATTTCCATTTGCCTGATTCGATTTACACTAAAATGTCTCTTTAAAAATATCAAATTTATTCCCTATTTAAATAACATTAGTTTAACGAGTACCTATTTAGGTTTGCTGCAACAGGGAGGGTAAAAAGGTGTTTTTTTTTGTAAAATGTTAATAGTTTAGTATGAAATGAATGCATTTTCAAAATTTGATCAAAATATGACCATAAACAAGCAAACTACAACAGTTTACTTATTCTCCATAAGAATAACATGGGAATTTTAAATTTACAGTTTTTTGGAATTTTCTCTGTAACCATTAGGCGCATTATAACGCTTCAATACACTAAATTATTTGTTTTTTTAATCTCTACAAAATGGTTTGGAAAGAAAATGCTAAATTTTTAGTTTTTAGGGTAAAAAATGGGAAAAACCAATTTTTTTCCCATAAAACCCCCCATAAACACCTGTTCCCATAGTCCGATCATGCTGGTTCGCGAACTCGTTCGAATAAACGTAGGTTTACACGTTTGTGCCAAATTTCATCAAAATCGGATGATTTTTGCTCGAGTTATCGCGCTAACGGACACATATATATATGAATTTGAACGGATGGTGTTTTTGGTCTCTAGGGACCTCAAAACGAAAAAGTAAATCGGTCCCGGGTCCAGGTCTTACCATGAGTACTACGGTAATAGCTTATTCCCTATATGGGAAATTCGCTAAAATGTAAATTATTATATATCTTCTTATTTGTTATTGTTTTAAAATTACCCTAGAAAAAATTAAATTGGTACCCTGTTTTATTTATTAGGGTACTTGTGACAATACGGTTAAGGCAGTAAAATTGAAGATAAAATAATTATCATAATTAATTGTGTTTATATTCCATATGAATTATGACATTTAAAAGTATTCCTAGATATTAAAAGAAAAAATAATTTTGCTGGTTGATTATCCAAACAACGTGATAACCCAAAACAACCCCGGTTCCAATCAATTCAGTCAACTCTCAGCTTTAATCAATAGCTGTATAAGAAGATTCAAACACATGTTTGTATTGATTAGATTCAATTTTTCCTTGTTTGTATTTTGATACCTCAGAAAGTTTTCGATAAAGATTTACTTTGAATAGGAATTGTATTACCAAATAATCTATTCTATTGGCAGAGGATTATAAAATAAAAGATTGAATACAGAAATCGTTCAGTAGAACTATTAGTGACAATTACTATTAGTCCAAGTAATTACTTGGAAGAAAGAAGAAAAATAGAAATATATATTAAAAGAAAATGTGTAGATTCAAACAGTGCTTGGGGAAATTGTTTAACTGTAGCTTGGATATTTTGTGTTTAAAGGATTAAACTGGACTCTAATCTAAATTTAATGGCCCGATAGCCGTAATTTTGTTTATCAAGATTTGTTGCTTGGTCACGAATGATGAAAAATTTGACTTGTCATTTCAATACACAATTCTAGGTCCAATCCAAATCTAACACTGTTTTCTATACGGAGAGGGAATTCATTTTTTTTTTCATTTTTTTTTTGGTTATTTATCCAAAATTTTTACCCAAATAAAAACATAAAATTCCAGAATTATTGCATGCTCTCTTGTATTAGATTAGATTCATGCAACACTTCAAAGATTTTTTTAAGAAGTAAAAGGGTACACATTTTAAGGTGAAAATAAGTTAAGGATGGGCGTTTAATGGATGTATTCATGTGTTCAATACGTTCCATTCATCAATCCATCCATTCCTATTGGATCCATTCATCCATGTGTATGTGTATGGATAACTATATTTCTGACCAAGATCAGCTGGGTTTTTTACCAAGGTCATTTCCTAAAAACCCAATGATCAATGACAGCTGGGTCTTGTTTAAAACCATCAATATGCAACTAACATTTTAAAGGGTTGGTCCTGCCTTCTCGTTACGATAACACCAAAGCACTAAAATTTACCTTTACCTACAACCGTTTAACTTCCGTAAAACTAACCTTTTCAATTCAATTTATAGAATCAAAAAGATTCAATTTACAACACTAGTGTGGTAAAGTAACAGACCAGTGGGCTTTTAAAAGGATTGAGAGAAAAGAAGTAAAATAGTGATGCTTGGAACGCCAACTTATCAGTATCACCTGGTAACGGACAATTCAATTTTTGATCTACGATTTTCTAACCAACAGTTGTGAACGGTGTTAAGTAAAGTAGTGTAAGCTACTTGTTTAATAACCCTTTACAACACTCGTAGAAGGTATTCGCCAAAGCTTGTGCCTTAAATTTTTGGTTGTGTCGTAATGACTATCTTTACGAGTTGCATAAACTACTTTGACAGGAGACAAACATTTAATAAGATTAAAAGTGGCTGGACAAGGAACTTCTTGTCAAAACAATATAAAATAGAATAAAAGTGTACTTGTATTGTCCAAAGTGGGTGTACTTCTCATATTTATGATACAATCTAAAATTGTACAATCACAGAGAAGTAAGGTACAGAGGAAATATCCAATGGTACACTTAAGTGGTTTCTAGCACTATTCGCTGGTGTCTAGGGGAAAGTCCATCACCGTCCTTAAGTACTATAATGCTCACGGTGGAGAAAACCCCTGTGTGATAGAAATTTCTGTACAGTGCTCACTGTTCAGGCTCTTCCTTGCTCGGCACAGGTATATTTCCAACAATCGCACGGTTGTCCTATAAGCCAGTTTTCTCTGTACCTTACTTCCCAACAAAACTACCGATGTAGAAAATACAGTGTTCTGTTACCTGAGGGTTTGTGAGAGCAGCCGTCATAACTCTCCTCATGGCAGCTCCCATCGCACTGAACTCATGCAGCATTGTCAGGAAGTTATCAGCCTCCATGATGGCTACTATGTGGGCGTCATGTAAAGCCGACTTGCTGCAACACAACATAAGTGGTTGGTAACAACGATCTATTCATCAAAGATATACCTATTGGCAAACAAAATGTTAAAAAACTGACCTTAATTGAAAATTTTCAAAAAGAGAAACGAGTAGAAAATAAAGAGATTTACCTTAAAGTTAAGGTAAATGAGATTGTTAAATACTGCAAGTACCACAAAAACCTTAGTTGAAGACTTCAATTTTGTGAGGAATGCACCCTTGTATCATTTATCAAGTTTTATAGGCAATAAGTTTCCAAAAAAATAAGTTAAATTAATGACAAGACTCAAAACTTGACATTGAACAAAAGAAAAAAACAAGAGAGTCATTCGTTATGTATCCCAGCAGGGAAGGTCTACAATATTAAATTTCTTCCCGAAGCTAAAACTCTTACCGCCAAATTAGAGGTAAGAGCTAATTTGGACGGTCCAAACCAGTCATATATTCCAAGAAATCCTTTTCACTAACGTGAATATGAGCAATTTTCTGTTCCCAAAGACATTTTATAACATTACATACCACTTCTAAAAAATAATCCAAATAAATTAAAATGCTTAAAAATTAAGTGAATTACAACTCTTTTAACATCCACAGTCCTAAAAAATCTAACCAAAGAGCTTTCATTTATACCCGTTCAACCTGATTTAACGGTGTTTTTGGACCAATTCCTATAACTCTTGCTGTGTGTAGGCTGTGTACTGGATGATGCAAGTTATTCTTACACACCTACACACAGCAAGGAGGGGAGGTGATGGCATCGATCCCCGACAATCAAGGAACATGCCATTCTCAATTTGAAAAGATGATTGTCAATAATGGTCAAAAACACCGTTCATATGTTTCATATAGGCTACTGTAATATTTTTTTTTTAAATAACACCTTGTCAAAAGCTCAATGTCAAGTAACAAGTGTCTATTTTTGTGGGATAGTTACATAAATTACGAACAAATAACAAATACAGTAGATACAACAAATCATCCAGAGATACCGAAAACAGATATCAATTCTATCAACTGAATGCCACTAACCTGTTCTCGCGCAGATGCTGTATCAGTCGCAGAATCAGCCGAGGCATGATGGCTTCAGAAGTGCACATGAGGTCGGATGGCACACAGGGCTTGTTGACTTGGGCCTGGGGCCCGTGTCTATCACAGAATCTGCAACAACCATAGAGTAATGCATTTGTCATTCTTAGAAGAGAAAGAAGAGAAGATGAGAAAGTGATGTGTCAAAACCGAATCTCAAATCTCTAAACCATCAAAGCTATCAAAAGTTTCGGTTTTGATATTCGATCGGCCAGTTTTGAGATTCAAAGGTTTTGGCAAATTGATTTTGAACTGCTGAGATTTTTGAGGTCATTATTATTGTTTATAACACTATTTAAACACAAGCTAACCGCAATGATGCAAACGGATCACCTCAAACATTGATGAAACAAGTAATTTATATTCTGAACTGAAATTCAGGTATCACTAATGCTAGATCAATGTACAATACAGTTACATAGGTATTTCCTAAACTCCAATAAATATTAATCATTAGCCATCATATTAATCATCATAAGTGTTTAAATCTAATATGTACTCATGTTTTAAATATCAGTGTCAGGAGTTTCATTTATATTTTAGAGTGCAGTAGAACCCCGATTAACCGAAATAAAGGGGGGAGAGCCATTTCCGATAACCGATTTTTCGGTTAACCCATCAAATGCTAAAAATAGCTTATGTATTACTACGGTGTGTAGGAAAAATTAATTTAAAACAATGTCTTAATAATACAGTGTTTATTTTGGCTACAAAAAAGATAGCTTTGTTCTATTTGTAATAAAAATTAACAAAATCAACAAAACGAAGTTTTAATATGTAGGCCTACAATTATTCATTGATTTTTCATGTTCTTAAAACTGTATTTACTGCTTGTTGAGTTAGTTTTTGTTAGTAATCACTAGAAGGGATAGAGAGCTATTAATTGATTTCTCTTATCAACAATAATTTTGATAGACTAGCACACTGCGGTTGGTTTTATTTCACAATCATGATATCGAAAGGGATAGTTAAAACAGATAAATACTAGGCCCTACTGAATGTGCCAGATTGCCCCTTCATAAAAAATGTATAAGATTCTTATGATAAATGTTTATATTGGGCTGCCTTTTTGATTGACTTGATTAGTGTTCAGTGTTCCTTTAGAAATTACCAAAACGGTAAACGTAAATTAGGTGAACTGGGCAAAAACATTTTATTTTATAAAATTATTAAATCGAACAAATACATTTTTGTAGAAACATTTTAACCATCCAGTTTAGGCAAAGGTGTGTATCAGATGTATTAAACAATTATTTTGGACATTTCCTTCAGCTATAAGGCAGCCTAGGTCCTTAATCAGTCCCTAGCAGTACCGGTAAAAAATTGGCAGTTGAAAAAAAAACTTAAACTCCCAATGAAGGCAGAATATGTCCAACATGAGAAACTGTACGTGTAGGAGTAATTGACCAAAAGAGGCAAAAAAGCAATAACGCCTTGTTGAAATCACTGACAAATTATCAAAACGTCAAAGTGATGTAACACCCACAAAATACCACTTGTTCTCTATCACCGTAGCAAATTTCAATAATTAATTCAGATTTTTATGAAAACTCACCCGGTCTCCTTCATGACGGAAGTGTCGCCGCAGTCGCAAGCACCGCCCGCCTGACTGCGGAACATGTTGAAGTCGTGACCGTCATGATCACCCTTCTGAAAACACTCCGCGCAGAGTGACATGCAAGGTGAGATTCCGCACGTGCGACATCTGTAGGCGACAAAGTTGGCTGTCCATACCAATCCACAGGTGGTGGCGTTGTCGTACCTCCTCACTGTACAACAAAGTCTTGTGAGCAACAGAGATGGTATACTTGGTCAAATAATAAGTTCGCAATATGAAAATATTGCTTTTATTTTCTGCTGCTAACAAATTTCGAATACAGAGCCAGTTAGTCTAGTGGTAGAGCAAGGGACTTGTCCCTGAGGTCCCAGGTTCAAATCAGCAATTTTATCTAAGTTAAAATGCTGCAACCCCTAAGTCTTGCCTGAGGTAATGTAAAAAAACAATCTTAGCTTAGCGTCCTAGGAAAAAATACAGAAGCCTACTTGCATTGGGATGTACTTTTTTTAGTCTTTGGAATACAATAACTAGTGTAAGTAGGCTAGTTATGCTGGCCAAAAAGTAGATAAACCAAATTGCAGTTTGGGCCTTCGCTTACAAGATAAAATGAATGGTTATAAAATGAAGAATACATAAAACAAAGGACATAAGTTACGACAAAGAAATAACATTAAGAACAACATAAGACATTATGAAGTATGACCATTTTTTCTTTAACTGTATGCCTACTTATTTAAAATAATAGAGTGCGTTTTTACCCTATTCTATGAATGTTTGATGGATTTCAAATGCATTCATATAATTATTCTACAAAAATACATTTTCTTTACTTGGAAGATAAACTAAAGGCTAAATTCTAGATCTATTAGTTATGTTTTATTAAAGTTACCAAATAATATTTTGGTTTTCATCAAACTATGGTTGAGATGTGAAGGAAGGGAAGAGTTCATGGCTTTGTTAGATGAAGAGGCTCTGAAACTGTTGCTATTTTAGTCCTAATATGACATGGTAAGTAACCATTTGTTGTTTAACTCCAGTAATTATATCAAGCATTCTGGTAATATCTAGTTTACAATGCAAAATAAAATGTTAATTATTTAGGACATTAAATAAAACTAGCAGTCAAAAAATGTACCAATAAAAAAACAATTCACAGTTGAGACAGTTTTACAGTAACATCTGAGGTCTTAAAAAGCATATGTTTATTGAAGAGCTGTTATAAAGGAAACTATAAAAATATGATGAAGCAGTGTGTAGTTCAAGCTTGAGCATTGTTCTTATTGACTCAAAAGAGAAGCCAAATGGAGTGAATCCAACATGACAGGGTGGCCAACTGTTTGGCCAAACTGCCAACTCTAACGACTAATTTGGCCATAAAGTGACAGCTACCCAGCCACCTAGACTGGATTGAGAGTCTGCTTGTATCATTTTAAAGCAAACTGCATAAAGAAAAAACTTCAACATTTAACTTTACACTGAATGTCAATATACCCCCGTCGCAGCAAACCTGCATACTAAGCGAATTTCCATTTACCCGGCTTGATTTCTACTAAAATATTCCCTATAAATTTTCAGATTTATTTCCTATTTAAATAACATTAATTTTAGTGAGTAGTTAGGTTTGCTGCTACGGAGAAGATCAACATCTTCTCCGTAGCAGCAAACCTAACTACTCACTAAAATTAATGTTATTTAAATAGGAAATAAATCTGAAAATTTATAGGTGTGCTTTTTCAATTGAAATATTGATAGCTTAGTATGAAATATACCAAATTGCCAAATTTGATTAAAATATATCCATAAACAAGCAAACTAGAACAGTTTATTTATTCTCCATAAGAATAACATGGGAATTTTAAATTTACAATTTTTTTAATTTTCTCCGCAGTCAATGAACATTCAAAAACACTTCAATATACTAAATCATTTGTTTTTTTAAGCTCTTCAAAATGGTCTAGAGAGAAATTTAGAAATTTAAAGTTTTTAGGGTCAAAAATGAGAAAAACCCATTTTTACCCCATAAAACCCCCCATAAACCCCTGATCCCATGGTCCGATTATGCTGGTTCGCGAACTCGTTCGAATATGTAGGTTTACACGTGTTTGTACCAAACATTCGGTATTTGGACATCCCTAATTAAAAGATAAAAATCATTAAATCACACTGAATTGTTAATATAGTAGGCTACTCAAAACATTTTTATGTGCTGTCCCGTCCCAAGCTGTATGGGCTATTAATTAACAGCTGTGTCGGCCTTAGTCACTAACAAGACTACAAGATCGCGCCACTCATCCTACACTCATCTCCATTCATACTTGGCTTAAAATAGCCTAGGCCTACCTACTTTGTATGGTCGCCATTTCATCGAAAAGTATTAAAGTATTAAGCTACGGTACCTGCTAGGTACTATTCCGACTCACCCGACTGTATGAGTACCTAGTGAAAAATTATGAGTCTGGATAAAAAAAATGTTTAATGTTTATCCCTTCCCGCAACCTAACGAAAATGCTCCCACTGTGGGTCGCAACCCAAAGTTTGGGAACCACTAGTTCTAAGTTATCTGAATCAGTTTGCAAAATAATCTTATTTTGAAGCGGTCATGTGTTTATCAACAACAGCTAAAACTTAGATACAACTCAACAGGTTAACTTGAGGAAAAGCTTATTAAGTTACCGTAGGAGACCGTAACTTACTGATAAATTGATGGTTGACGTTGAACAATAACCAATCTTGAATTTTAGCATCTATTCCATAAGTAGGTATTGTATAAGTTATTGTAATTAAGATTTTGCTTTCACGTCGTCATGTGTGGTTTAGTTTCTTTAGTATCGAATGGTAAACAACTAACCCCTATAATAAATAGGCCTAGCTCGTTTTCTGAGGGAAAGTTTCCTAGCCAGCTAAAATTGTCTTTGGTAGGGCCAATCTTTAAGAGCGGAGATAGAAGTTCTTGCCATAACTACAGGCCTGTAAGTCTAGTTTTGACGTTCTCAAAGGTTTTTGAGAAAGCAGTAATTAGTAGGCTGTGTGATTTCCTAGAGAAACACAATATATTAGTTGGAAAACAGTACGGCTTTGTAAAGAAGAGTTCCACAACAAAGGCCATACTCAGCCTCATAAATAAAGTAGTCAAATATATTGATTCGGGACAGTCTGTGGCTGGCATGTTCATTGACTTGAGTCGTGCTTTTGACTTAGTTGACCATGGTCTACTTCTGGGAAAAATGCATGATGCTGACATTAGAGGCATTGCTCTTGATTGGTTCGCATCATACCCTGAAGGAAGAAAGCAGTATGTAGCAATCCCTACCATCGATGAAACAGGTCTTCTAAAGTATCATCGTTCTGCTGACGCCTCAGTCACGAGAGGTGTGCCCCAGGGTTCCGTCCTCGGACCGACCTTATTCCTTCTATTTAAAATCAACTTGCCCACTTGCGCAAACAAGGCAAACATTTGTCTGTTTGCCGATGATACATCTCTTACTGTATCCAGTCATTCCACAGAAACACTTGAACAATCAAAATTTCTTGAATCTTATAGCCTGCTTCAATGGTGTGAAGATAATCATCTTGTCCTAAATGCAAAAAAACCCAACTTCTCCAATTTAGCATTTCAAATCATCAAACAAAAAAAAAACCAAGGAACATTTAGCTTACTGTTGGGTGAAAATGAGATCCATCCCTGTCAAGAGGTTAAGTTCCTTGGTGTGGTCCTTGATGAAAATCTTAACTACCACAAACATATCAAACATGTCACAACAAAAATATCAGTTGGTATTTCCATGCTTCGTATGCTTAGCCAAACAGTAAATTCAGAAGTCCTCCTGTCTCCTTATTGGTCTTGTATATCCATATTTATCCTATGCTGTCCCTGTCTGGGGTAGTGAAAGTGAAAAGACGAAGTTTCTTTTCCGACAACAATTGAAAGCCATCCGCATTATATTTTCCCTACCCAAACGTCAGTCCTGCTTAAAGACATTTAAAAAAATTCTGAATTCTAACCTTTCAATCCATACATTTTTGAAACAATATCCTTCACCAGAAAAAATATTTCTTCTTTTTGTTCACAGCTCAACAATAGATAGCCTATCCATTTCGTAATTCTCCCGACCTTGCAATTCCTATACACTCAACGTCATTCGTCCAAAAGAATTTTCAATACAATGCCGTCAAGCTATTCAATGACCTTCCTCCTTCCCTAAAGACCGAACAGGATTTAAATAGATTTCAGAAAAAACTAAAGAATTTTTTGCTGGATAATGCCTTCTGCAGCGTTTGTGAATTTCTTTGCCCTAGAACTGGTAGTGTAAATATAGTAGCATAGTTGACAGTTTTAATTTATACAAGAGAGTTTTATTGTTATGTAAGTTAAATATTGTATTTTATTTTGATTTGTTGACGTACCGGTAGCTAGGCCTAATGCATTTTATGTTAATTTTGCTGAATAAACGACTTATGACTTATTGCAACAATGTTATCAGTGAGTTACATCAAAGGTTGATACCGACGGTGTAACTAGCCTCACCATCAGTGGTGAACATTGATGATTGACCTTACTTAAGTAGGCCTAAGTTTATTGATAACTTATCCGAAGTTAGGCCTACCCGGTACTAAGTTATAGACTGTTAGCCTACATAAGTTATTAAAGAGTGACTTAGCATTGAAACAAATCAAGTTAGCAATGATTGAGGAGTCTAAGCTTACCTATAGAGGAAAATTCATCAGGTGTTCTCCCACCAGCCATAAGCCATTTTATCCAATCAAGTGTCTCCCACTCATCAATATTTTTTGAAGGGTTTAAAAGAATATCTAAAATTTCACCTAATACACCAGATGACGTATTATTTGCACAATCAGCGTGTACATGTGCTGCAGCACCCCTTCTTCCCTTTTTCATGAGGATCTGAGCAGGGGAGTCATCACCCATCTTAAGGCTGTTTAAGTTATTCACTTATTTCAAGTAATGTTTCTTGTCAAAAATAAATTGAATCACCTATAAATGTAGACCTTATTTCCGGGTTAACCACCCGCATAGGCATCGTCTACAAGGTTAAAGGCTAGACTAGGACTAAATATGTGGACAAAAAGTCATAGCTGTCTGTCAAGTTTAGAACAAATGAAAACAATTATTAACAAATACGTTTTGCAACCCGAGAGAATTGGTGGCTAGCCATCACAAATGCACACAATATTCACTTTTACACAGAATCAAAGGGCAAAACATATAACTAAAATTAGGATTTAATCACTAGCCCGAGTTTTACGTTTCAGTAGACACAAAATTACAAGGATTACAAGACTAATGAACTTCCATCCATAGTCAGTGTCAGACAGAACGGCATTGCAGATGGCATTGGCAATCTTCATTAGGTCCCCAAAGAGAAAGAATAAATAAATTGTTAAAATGGCGGTACTATAAAAAATACATCAACAATAATTGCTATAACCATAAACTAACCATGTATGTTTTATCTATGCCATAACCAATCCTTCAGTTAATTATATAAAAACCCTTATGAAAAAAAAACGAATCTATGCATTTTAGAAGTTTTTAAAATATTTAAGTCATTCTAACAATAGTTCCTCTGTTTTTTACGGATTGTGTAGATTATGCGTAAGGGAGTGTGTTTAATCTATAATGGGCACTGTTCAAAGTCACGGCTAAAACGCCGGCCAATTATAGTTATAAATATTTAATTGTTTTTGTCTATGCTTTTATTTATTTTAGAGTATTAACATAATTGAACAGCCGTCCATGTATTCACTCTTGATCAGTTTATTTGTTACTATTAAGCATGCACAACAATGTATTTAACTGTATTGGTTGTAACCGTTAAATGAATAAATGAAATGAAATGAAATGAAATTTATCTAAAAGTCCATATTTACCGTCAGTGAAACCCATGAAAACCACTAATCCATGCCTTCTTTTAAACCTATCCAAGATCCGTAATCTTGACCTGTATCCTTCCTCTTCTATGTTTTCTGGCTGTTTTAATTTGGATATAAATCCAATTTTTATATATTATAACAAATATAAACGAATTCTTTAAAAAAAGAATCAATATTTGAAAAAAGTACAGATTTATTTAAACATGAATAGCAAACCATAATTTGAAACAGAAAAAGAACGAACTGATTTAAAGAGTCGTTCAGAGAGCCTAGTTACCCTCATTTCGTTCACACTTGGCTCACATAATATATATTTTGTCCATTCCATGTTTTCAAGTTTCCTTGTTCGCATCTTTCCGAACACCTGTACAATAATATCATAGGCGATTTTTTAAGGGGGGGGGGTTGGCACACGCCATACAGAAGTATTGGTATGAACATGGGTATGAACAAATTCCCTAAGGTTCTGCCTCAAAGGCTGCCCCAAAGGGAACCTTACATGCTTTCGAAGTTTACATTATTTCAATCAATTAAATGAAATAGCTGGTCAATCTATTAAGAGCAGTTTACTTATTTACTTGAAAGGATTTTTGATGGTATTTTTGCATTCTGTTGATTTGTGAGTTATAAGATGTTTATGTTTGGTTAAAGAAAGTAGACATTTTGTGGAATTTTGCTTTTAGCTTACATTGTAATTTATATAATAACTAGCTGTACCCGCGGGCTTCGCCCCGTTTAACTTCATAAGTATTCGCATGGCTCATTCACGTCCTGGTTGAAGTTCGTTCGCTACGCTCACTCACCTTTAGGTTGGAGCTCGTTCGCTGCGCTCACTTGCCTTCAGGTTAGCTCGTTCGCTACGCTAACTCGCCTCCAGGTTGAAGTTCGTTCGCTACGCTCACTCACCTTTTGGTTGGAAATTAGCTGTTGTCATAAATTAAAAAAAATTAATAGTGCTGCACCCTGTTGGTAATCCTTGTAACTTTTATGCTATTGCACATCATAGAACAGAACCAACTTGTTTAATTGAAACAGCTGTTAAGATTCATTAATTCCTTTTAAATATGAAAAATCATAAGATTAACATGGGGAACTACAGAGCCACTGGGGCGGAGCCCGAAAGGGTTTTTGAGATAAGAATATGCTTTAATGTTAATCGGGAATGTGAGCTATCATCATGCCAAATTTCAGCCCAATCCGTCTAGTAGTTTATGCGTGATTGAGCAACAAACACACAAACACACACACAAACATACACACAAACATACACACAAACTCACAAACTTTCAGATTTATAATATTAGTAAGATAAGCTACAGGTAAAGAAAAGAGGCTTGACTAAAATTGAAGAATTAAGGTCAAATATCTAAAATGTTCAGTTTGATTACTGCTAGAGATGTAACGAATAGTACTTTTGGCCGAATACTGAATACCGAGTATTCGGTGAGGTCTCAGGCCGAAGCGCCGAATATTCGGCGGCCGAATATTCTGCCCCAGTTGTAGTTCTTTTATGTCTAGGTTTAGCTATGCTATGACTCATTGACAAGTCATTACGACTTATTGTCTCTTTGTTATAGTGACGGGGAGAGGCATTGCACCATAATTTTACACCATCACCATCTCAATCATATATATTTAAAATTACTCAATCGAAAATCATAAATTTTATTATTTCTCGGATATTATATTATTTTAACGCTGCGGAGCAGCATGGGTCCTCTAGTTTACTATTAATTGATTGGGTTAATTGATTGTGTTTGGATTATTTATTTGCAAACTTCTGAAAATTAATGTTGGTTCTTAAAATAATAAAAATCTTTTCAAAATAATTTATTAAGGTATTATTTTTTGCACAAAGTCTAATAATTATAACTAAATGAGTATTCGGTATTGGGCCGAATGTCAACTAGTATTCGGCCGAATACCGAATAGTAAAAAATTGGCCGAATAGACCGAATACCGAATAGTAGGTAACCGAATATTCATTACATCTCTAATTACTGCAATGGCGTTACTGAAAAGGTATCAAGTACGGAAGGCTTTGAACGTATGTGTGTGCAATGATTTATTTTTATTTTTAGAGACTGCACCCCAAGATGTTGAGTGGCCTCCCAGCGGAGCATATATCGCATCGAGGACAGCGGAAAAAGTGTGTGTCGCGTCGTCAAGAATGCATGAGCAGTAAATACAGCCAGGTGAATTCGTTTTGGCCATCAAGGGCATGTACGACTGAACATAGCCGTGACTGACAAGAACTGCTTGAGATAGTAGTCAACCTTACCGTGCTGCCGTCCCACCCACAGTTGGATTTGTCTGATGATTCTGTCAGTCCAACGTCCTCGAGTCTCCCTCTCCCAGCTTTCTTGTCACATCTGAAAAGTGCGGAAGCGTCCTTCCCGATGTAGCCTTGTCTCTGGTAGATTGCTTTCCTCTCCACTGCCAAGACTTTGACAGGGATAACTCCAGCAATCACCAAAACGGCCGTTTCGGACACCGTAGGGTAAGCCGAAGCGACTCTGAGTGGACTGAGTGCCACCTGACGCTGCACTAGTGCGAGCCTCTACTTGTGTACGCCTCCTTGTTGAGCGCGTCTGCCCACAGTGTGGCAGTGTGCCCCACACCTCAGATCCATAGAGAAGCAAGGACTGGACTGCAGACATCAAGAGTCTTCTACGGCGAGACCAAGGACCACCGTCATTACTAAGATACATTACTATTTAAATAATTTTTCGTCCATTTATGCAAGTTGTGATATTGTTATACAGTATCTGTTTCTACTCACGCCGAGTTGTGGTTATATTGGCTAGTAAATTCCAAGAACACTTTTTTACTGTCTCTTCGAAACAGCCGAACGTTTATCGCGTATTTCTGTCGGTCTGTTTCTAAAAGAAAAAGAAGAACTATACACACACCACTGAGCTAAAATTATACACACAGACACAGCAGCAGCATCATCTAACTAAGCATCACTCACTACACTACAGCAGCATTTAACAACAGTAGTAAAGGGAGTAATGGAGCTTTTGTAGGCGTAGTTTATTCTGCAGTATTCGGGTTTCGGGTTTATAAAGTTATTTCAGCGTCCTACCTAGACAGTGTTACTTTTAGGGGTCTGCATTTTAAGGTAGTGAAATAAGTGGATTTTGTATTATTTTCAATGTGACTACTTATAGTTGAGTGACAGGACAAACTCAGGAGGAATCGTCTCCCCTTTACATTGCTGAAGAAGCTAAAGGTGAGTTTCTATTTGGTGTTTTTGGGCATTCTATTCTTGTGATATGTTTAAAATGAAATTCAATATCGCTTGAATGGTTTTTAAACGAAGCAATTAAAGCTCTTACTTGTTTTTAGTTCATATTTACTTTTAGAACAGAGCCGTAAGACTTATTCGAAATGACCTTAGCAGAACTGACGTTTCTTCGTTTGTGAGCCTAGGTTTGGATTTGTTTTGTTTGTTGAAATTATTTACTGTTGGCATATTTATAAACCAAGCCGGGGTACAGTTTCTTAATTGGGCTATGCTAATATCCATTGAAAATACCGATTCGATTAGTAAACCTTCATTCAATTTTTTTCTATGGTTTACCAAAACTATATCAATTATAAAATGAAACTGTTTTAACCTAACCTAACCAACCAAACTTGATAATAATGAGAAAATCGAATGAAGGTTAACAAATTAAATCAATATTTTCAATCGATTTAAGTGGTGTGTGTTAGCCCAGTTAAGAAACTAGCCCCAAGCTGCAAAGTTTATTAACCTGCTATATACCTATCTCTACGTATTTATAACTTACAATGTTTTGATTAGCTCAGTTACACAGTCTGGGCCACTGAGGTGGTAATAATGCTACTGAGCTATTAACCTAATTAAGTTAGTTTAGTTCACATACTCACTGACTAAACTTAAAAAACTTAGGCCAAATTAGTCGGTTGCATAGGTCCTTCAATTTATCGGTGTACCTAGCCTAATAAAATATACCTAGGTTTCTAACTTTTAAATATTTTAACCCACATAGGGCCTAACTGATGAGTACCTAACTCCTAAATATTGTAATTCAATATTGTTTAAATTGGCGAAATCCGTTGGCAATAAATAAATAAGTAGTCTAACTTAAGTGACTTCTTAGACAAATTTAATATCAAAATGTTCACTGACCTAAGCGAGGAATTCTGACAGCACACTAGGAATCACTTATAAGGTTAAATAGGGATTACTTGTAAGGTTAGGTTTGTCTATCTTAGGATACCGGTAGTACTTTTGTGTGGTCTAATTGTCATCATTCTTATTGTCTGGCTTCCCGGTAAGCTAAGATTGAAATAGCCCAAGTTATATTCAAGTTAAACCTGTCTTATTTGTCTAACCTTTTAAATACCTAGTAGGGCTAATTTACTGAGGCATAGGCCACTAAGTTACAGTAGCCTAAGTTAGGTAGCCAACGACACTGGTTTTAAACCTACATTATTAAGAGTGAAGTAAAACAGTGAATGACTTATGGCTAAGTTATAGGCTCAGACAAGTTCTATGTAGGCCTAAGTTAACTTGCTCATTATTAACTGATTCCAAGCTGATCTTGGAAGTCCAAGCTCTTGTCAATCGTTATTTAAGAAATTCTAAATGAAGCATTTTTTAATTGAACGGTTTTGGCTGCACTTTACTTTAGGTAGCACCTAAAGCCTACTCCTACTCTCCTACGGCCTACTCTCATTCGAATAAAAATATCGATTATTCTAGATGAGCGACCAATAAGATGTAGCCTACTGTTCCTAGACCATCTGCCCACTAAATTCACTGATTTTCCTTGATTTTATGTAGATATTAATTCATTGAGTTGATTGTATAAGTGAAAGTACTTACCTAGCCTAAACTTATTGATAACTGGCTGTTAAGGAGATTATCAAATTATGCCTCTATAGTTTTTTACCTTCTGATTCCAAATATATCATTATTTTTATCCGCTGATGAATATTACTCAAGATATTGCCGTAAAAATATCCCATACGGTACTTGTATAAGTTAATATGAGTAAAGTTTGAATATTTGTTACATTTCGATCTCGGAATTGGCACATATAAACACGTTTATACTTACGGTATAACTAAGTTCTGTGTCGCAAATAAGTTTAAGACCAGTGGTAAGCCAGGAAGAATCCATTTTTGCCGTAATATGCGTAGTACGTACAAACTTGAAAATTTAACATGGGCCTTATGGGACACCATTCTTTTTATTTGTTCACTTTTTATGACTTACATTTTTATAGTGTACTGTAGACAAAGAGAAAGAGAACACCTTTGCTCCTTTTCATTCATAGAGTAAATGACTTAATGAGCTGCTTAAGTGTTTGTACATTAAGTTATGATTCTAAACTTTCCAGGGTAGTAAGTTCCCAAAGCCAATAAGTCCAAGCTAATCCAAAACCAACTTATTCTAAAATCATCCTCAGCTTTAATAATTACTGTTGATTTTTAATAGTTTTGCTAAAAATCCACACGATATATCCTATTTTTTATATTTTCAACCTAACCATTTTAATAATTATTATCACTGAATTGCTCTTTTCGTCGGTTGGGTCGGTTGTCGTCTGATTCAGAAATATTCTGTCTGTCAGGAGTCTAAGGTCTGTTGTAATATTATTAGCCTAGGCTACCTAACTAAGTTATTACGTCTTGCAATAAACAGTGTGCGATTGTACTGGATGATTGGGCTATCTATTTCAGAAAAATAAAATAAATCTAAACAACTTAACTTGAGATATATGATATATTCTAAAGTTTTGGCCGTTTTGAGATGAATGCGCTTTTGGGTTGATGGTTATAAGCTTAGGACTAGGCTAGATATCAAAGTAACTCCCAATTAACTTATACCGGTAGCCTAGATCATATTTTGTCAGGGTCAATAAAATAGTGCAATTTGATCAATGACAGCCAAACTTGGGGGGTTTCAGGTACTACAACAAACAAGGTAGAACAGATGACATTTTACAAGTGGAATGAACTGCGGGTGAAGTAAAGTAAGCCTACGCTCATGGTTTTCAATTGGCATTTTTACACTCCGGTTGGCTATCCCAAGATATCCACTCTTGACTAATACATTTTTAAGCTAAGGTGAGGCTGGTTAGCAACTGAGCGATTCCGTTTGTTTGACAGGTGATGAGGGGCTACAATTTTCAAAGCAAATGTCATGTCCAACTTATTTTCCACCACTCAACTGACACTGATATTCTCAGGTTTTTGGCGATTTGGAGGTAATTTCAGAGATCTTGAAAGGGCGTAATTTCTGTTAAATTCCACCTCTTCCTACCGAGCCCTATGGCCTTCTTAGAATTTTCTGCCTACAGGTCTAACCAAAAAATAATAACCAGTAAACCTAAATGACATTAAAGTTAATTTGGAAAACCATAGATTTTATGAAAGCTGAAGAGATTGATAGCAAGCACTTTAAATCTCTTAAATCAATTGCGGGTGAACTAATTTCCCAGCTTCAATGATTTCTCTATTTATTGGGATTAGGACACATATTAATCTTTGTTTAAGTTACCTTGTTTTTCTAAATAGTGTTTGTTTAAATCATATTCAACACTAGAAAACCATAGATTTTATGAAAGCTGAAGAGTTTGATTGCAAGCACTTTAAAGCTCTTAAATCAATTGTGAGTGCACTAATTTCCCAACTTCAATGATTTCTCTATTTATTGGGATTAGGACTCATATTAATCTTTGTTTAAGTTACCTTGTTTTTCTAAATAGCGTTTGTTTAAATCATAATTTGGATAATAGTATAATAAATTTGCATAATTAATAGTATAATAGTTTGTTAAAGTTGTTAATCTTATGGTTGTCTTTAATAACAATTTACGGTATGTGAAATAAATATACATTTTACAACTTCTTGTATCTGTTGCTATATAAATCTGTGTCTTAATTTGTCATCATATAAATGATTTATCACAGAATTTTGATGCTTAGACTTTCCACAAATTGCATAAATGTACAAAACAATTATACTGTAGGCTGTACTAAGTACAGTGTTTCATATATTGATGTGGGATTTTGCTGCAATTGCTGATGAATGTTTGTACAAGTTACGTATACATATTCCTTTAAAATTTTATAAGTAAATAATACCTTTAGAGCTTCAATTGAATATTCGGCAATTTGTGCTTGCCCTTTTGACACCAAGAAGACGTCTGAATAAATCACATCGGCATCTTTAACAGCGAGATTTATCTCTGACACCATCTCGTACCTTCTCTAACAGCGCTATATTAATGTTCTCAGGCTATATACTCTTCTTTGAATGGAGGTCAAGGTTTGTTTGCAGCTTTTCCTGAACTTCAGCATTGTCGATTGCACTCCACCTCCTGAAGCAATCTTTTCAGCAATGTATTCATCACCACATGCGTAGGGCCTATATTGATCGTTGACATATTTGTTTAAAGATTTAGCTTCTTGGTTGCTTCCACCCTCTTCAACATCATCTTCATATATTGATAGTTGACATATTTGTCTGAAGTTTTAGCTTCTTGGTTGTTTCCGCCCTCTCCAACATCAAATTCATGACTGTCGTCTGTAGCCCTTATTTCATCTAGAAGACTCGGTATTCACTATTTTGATGTAAATTACATTTAAAGTTCCTGTAACTTAAATAAACAACATCATGTGGATATACATCAGTAAAATTCAAGTGCAAGGGATGTTTTATTTGAAAAATAATATACCTACATGTATGCTATTATATCTATTTGCTATAAGTAAATTATCTATGGAATAAAAAGTAAATACCATTTCTGATTTCAATATTGACCAAGAACCCTCCACTTTGCATAGTATAGACCTACAAAAGACAGCGCACAGAGTACAGAAAAAGTTGATTTTTCTATCTAGCTTCTTCAGTGCCTTTATCTCGAAATCAGGTGTTCTGATAAAAAAAAAAACCATTTCATTGATATATAGGATCTGAAGTAAAGAGCTAAGGATTTTGTTACAATCCATAAGAGGAACATCTAGGGAATAGAGCTTTTATTTCCCTCTAAATACTGTATGTTCATGTAATTAAGTTGACATGTCAAAAAGTCATTCTTAATAATCGATATATTTTAATAATATGATTGATAAGTTGGCCAGTTTTTAACGACAGTCTCAGCAAATTCTTTTCAATCTATCGACTTAAAGAATTAATTGTTTAATTAGTAAATTAATTTCATAGTAGTTTGCCCTCATGAGCAAAACTTGCTAT